CAGAGAGAAGCGGGAGCAGAGACGTGCTGATGGGGTGTCACAGCCCCCTCTGGAGCCTCCTGAAGTTCTGCGCCCGCCCCTCCCCCCGCAGTAGCCCATCATTCCAGCCACCCACGGACACAGTGCCCTCACCCAAGTCCTAGCCAGGTCCAGCAGACTCTGTCTGACGACTCCGGGCAGGATGACGCCGTCCAGTGGGGGGGTCACCAGTTCCAGCACTGGGGCAAGTTCAAGGGCTGGAGGGTTACCTCATGCCCTCAGGCACACCCGCCCATCTTCTTTGAGGCCACCCAAACCCACCCACCACCCCACCACCCATTCCCCACAGCAGGCTAGGAGTTATGACAGACCCACTTCCGGTGGGGGGGGGGATGACACGGAAGGGCTCACCCCCATCCTCGTGGGTCCAGTAGATGAAGATGTTCATGGTGCCCACCTCGGTGAGCTGGTGCTCAGGCCCATAGAGCCAGAGCACCTGTTCACAGCCCCTCTTTTTCGCCTCCTGCTGCACCAACACGGTGGGCCCGTAATTCCTGGCAGAGAGCAGCGTGGTTGACCACGAAAAGGCTCCTCCCTCAGACTCACTTGAGGGCTCACTCCCCATCACAGTGAGCAGTGCCCCAGCCATTTCCATCACAGCGCCGGCGGCTCTGGGTACTGGGGCGCCCTCTAGCCTGGAAGCCCCTGGAAGGCAGGGCCTGCACCTGATTCATCTGCGTCCCCAGCTTCGCTGGGCCCAGGGTCTGGCCCTGGGAGCCTCACAAGGGAGGTATGTGGAAAGGACCCATATGAAGCTCCCAGCTGGGGCCACACTCGGTATCCCCAACACACCGTCACCCCACCTCCTGCCTGGATCACCTGGGGGGGGTACCCTCCCTGCCCTGCTGAACCAAGGTCCCTGGCTTTCCACAGGAAGCCCCCACAGAGCATGGCGGTCACTGGAGGCCCAGGGGACTAGGAGAGCTGCGTATGGGGGTGGGGAGGGCGGGGCGCTGGCCAAGCCTCGGTGACACCAATGAGCTAAGAATAAACTTCATTCCTGAAGGCTTCCCAGGAGGCCAATCAGGGTTTCTCCACTGACTTTTACCCTCCCCCGGGCAAATTCTGAGCCAATGTGTCCACAGCGCTTAGCACAGCCTCCCCTGGCACTCCCGCCACAGTGCCAACAGCATCCCATTCCCAAGGGCAAGCAGAGCTGTCCCCAGCCATGTGAAACTAGACAGAAAGGGCAATTGACATCCAAAGACACAGATCCACACCCGAAGCACGACAGCCAGTGTCTCGGATGTCCAGCATCCGGGACACGTAGGGGGATACGGAGGGTTGGGGGAGGGACTGCTGCAGGGACTACTTACCCCCCCAGCTTGTAGTCACCCACCCCACCCATCCAGGCCCGGATGAAGGTTGGGTCGGCCAGGAGGGAAACAGGATCCACGGCGTCTCCGGGGAAGTATGCGCCCACAGGGCAGAGAATGACAAACAGGAGCGCTTGCGAGGAGCGGGTGACGCCTAGCGAGGGCTGCAGTGGGCGGAAGGTGGCATCAGGGACCCAGGAGTCCAGGCCCCACCCCAAACCTCCTCCCGCCCCCCCAGTCAGGGAGTCCAGCCCACCTCATTTCCGATGATCACAGGCCGGATGTAGAGGCTGGTATCCTTGCCCTCAGGGACCCAGTCCTTGTCCACTTCCACCAGCCTGCGGATACACTCGAGCAACTCGACCTTATCAAAACTCTGGGCAAGATTCCCACGAGTCAGCACTCTCCTCCGCCCTTACCCCCCCCCCCCCAACCTGCTCCCCTGGGGCCAGCCAGGGCCCCTCACCGGCAGGCAGAGGCGCAGGGCCGAGCGCAGCATCCGATCCATGTTGAGCCAGGGGCGGAAGAGGCGTACGCGCTTGTCGCTGCCTTTGAACGCCTTCATGCCCTCGAAGAGCTGCGGGGACGGGCGGGTGGGGGACGGAGCTCAAACCCCACCTCAGGGAACCCCGAGCCACATGGAAATATCCCGAAACAGCGCCTGATACACAAGGACTCAGACACAGATGCAGAGACAGACTGGAGGAGAGATCAACCCGCTGAGCTCAGAGAGGAAGAGGAGGAGGCAGAGACAGACAGAGGGACAGAGAGAGACCAGAAGACAGGAGACACACCCCCAGAGGTGCCGAGGGATCACCCTGCTTAAATCCCTTCCGTGTTACTGGTCCGATTTCTCCGGAACAGTGATGGCATGCAAGTTCTGGGTTTTGTTTTTGTTTTTTTTCCTTTTAAATACTTTAATTAATTTATTTATTTATTTTAAAGATTTTATTTATTTATTTGACAGACAAATCACAAGTAGGCAGAGAGGCAGGCAGAGAGAGAGGGGGAAGCAGGCTCCCTACTGAGCAGAAAGCCCGTGCCTGCGGGGCTTGATCCCAGGACTCTGGGATCGTGGCCTGAGCCGAAGGCAGAGGCAAGTTCTGTTTTTAAAGAATCCTGGGGCATCTGGGTGGCTCAGCCGGTTAGGCATCTGCCTTTGACTCAGGTCATGTTCCCAGAGTCCTGGGAACAAGCCCTACCTCTGGCTCCTTGCTCAGTGGGGAGCCTGTTTCTCTCTCTGCCTGCGGCTCCCCCTCCTTGTGCTCTCTCTCTTTCTTGCTGACAAATAAATAAAAATCTTTAAAATAAAAAAAAATTAAAGATTCCTTGCATTCTTGAGAAGCACTGGACTTGCTATGGGTGAAATACTGAAAAGTCCAGGGTTTGCTTCAAAATCTTAGAGAAAGGGGGGGCACGAAGATGGGAGTCCAGATGGGGACCCACAGGCGCTTGCTGATGAAGCAGGGTGGTGGTGGGGGGCTTATATATCATTCTATTTTTATGTTTGAAATTTCCCATAATAAAAACTTTAAAAAAAAATTTTTAAGTCATCTCTACAGCCTTTGTGGGGTTCCAACTGATGACTCCTGAGATCAAGAGTCACATTCTCCAATGCCTGAGCCAGCCAGGTGCCCCAAAATATTTGTAAAATCAACAACAACAACAACAGTAAAAAAGCCCACGAAGTTGATCTGCACGCCCAGCCTGTTGTTGACCTTGGCCTTGGAGGCCCCACAGGATCTGGCCCCTCTTATCTCCGCCTCCTGAGCTGACACTGCAAACGGGCTACTAGGGCTGAAACCTGTTCATCCAAATTCTTGTCAGCACAGAAGCTGCCTCAGGAAGACTCTGCTTCTAGCCATAGCTTTGAGTCATCACCTAAATGCCTTCTAGATATCTTCCCTCAAAGGCCCCTCAGCAAGTCCGGCAAAGCCGATCTCCAGAGGAGTCCCCATAGGGGGACAGCCCCATGGCCTAACTGGTCACCTTGGCCACACCTCTGGGTGCCATGCTCAGCCCTCCATTCCTGCTCTTTTCCAGCCTGCCAGACCCTTCCTTCCGTCCCTCCCCTGGCTCTGGCCCCAGCTCGGGCTTCCTGGCCTCCGGCTCTCCCCTCCAGCCCATCCTCCAATCAGCCTAAGGGGTGTCACTACAGCCAGAGCCAACCTGTTCCATGCCTCCTCAGGGTCCTCCATCGCTCCCAGCGCCCTCAAAGAGGCTGCCCTCCTGACAAGGTGCCAGCCCTCAGCCCCTCTGAGGCCCCTGATGGCATCCTCAGCCTCCCCTATTGCATTCAATCCCCCAATTCCCCCAAAACGCCGGGCTCTCCTTTGTACTGTGTCTTTGTACTGGTGGCTCCCTCTCCCGCTGACACCCTACGCTTTCTTTGCTGAAAGAGACCCTACTTCCTTTCAAGTTAGAGGTGGGATCGGTGCCTGTTCTGGCTCCCACGATGCCTCAGGGGCCTCCCTCAGGGCACAACTGCCTAGGGCTGTAACCCGAACATGGGGTTTTCGAGGGGAAGAACTGGTTTTCTGCTCTTCTTGGGGACCCCGGCATCACACTGCAGGGGGCCTGGAACACGAGAGACCTCAGGGAACACATCTTGAGCAAGAAGAAACACACAAAGTGTGTGCATGCCCAGGGAAAAATGGACTCAGCGAGAGACACGGCAAGGGGGAAGAGATGCAGAGAGACGGGGAGGGAGGTTGGGGCCATGCCTGCATCGAGTAGTGGAGGCCGGAGCAGGCGGGGTGCAGCATGAGGTTCTGGAAGGGCTGGATACGGGGCTGGCCCCAGCCCTTCTCCTCTTTCCATTCTACCACCAACATGTGGTCAGTGAATATCTTCCCAAACACCAGGGGCTTGCTGGGGTCAGGCTTCTGGTGAGGCTCCTGTGTCATTTCCAGCTGCAGGTCTGCAGCCTGAGAAAAGACGGGGACCCAAGTATCCTGAAATCCGGTCGCAACTTCAAAGTGAAAAACTACAACTCCCATGAACCTCTGGGGCTAAGATCCAAAGACGAAAAAGACCTGTAGCCCCAGAGACTTCTGGGACATACCCTATCACATCTCTCCCACAGCCTTACAGCGGACTAGTAGGACCCCGTTGCCAAACACCTTCACCTTTGGACCCTGGACCCTTTTGGAGATGCCCAAATCCAGCTGCCTACCCCTTCCTCAAACCTAAGAGTCCTGACCCTCCCACCCCCTCCCCCCCCTCAGGCCCAGCAGTCCTGGCCCCAGTCCCACCTTGAGATCCAAAAGTACATTCCCCTCCATTCACCTTGAAGTTGGATGAGGCATATCTTCTGGGGCCACACAGAAGCCAAGAGGCAGGGAGGAGTTTTCGGGCCCAAATCTGGGGATGGGGACAGAAGTAAGAAAAGCAGCGAGGCCAGGAAAGGTAGAGAAAGCAGGGGACCCTGGGCCTGCTTTGCCTCCATGCACTTGGGAGGCCCCTCTGCCCTGGTCTGTCCAAGGCCCAGTGCATTCTAGATGGACCATGTGTTCCTGGACATGTCCACTCCCCTGTCAGATCAGCACCTTGTGGGAGGAAGTCTGAAGGAGGCCAAGCCCCCTCCCTGTCCTCACAAGGACAATTCCTAGCAAGGGCTGAATCAGCTCCCGTCGCCTCCCAGCCAGGGCAAAGTCAAACACAGGCACCTCCCACCCCTGGGAACTTTGGCCCCAGCCCTGAGATCAGCTCAGACAGAAGACAGTGAGGCACGGTGCACAGGTAAGTGAAGGCCTCCCCGGGGGACACAAATTCTGATAAGAATTAGAAAAGTGAGGGGGTGCCTGGGTGTCTCAGTGGGTTAAAGCCTCTGCCTTCAGCTCAGGTCATGATCCCAGGGTCCTGGGATCGAGCCCCGCATCGCATGGGCTCTCTGCTCAGCACGGAGCCTGCTTCCCTTCCTCTCTCTGCCTGCCTGTGATCTCTGTCTGTCAAATAAATAAAATCTTTAAAAAAAAAAAAAAGAATTAGAAAAGTGAGGAATGTAGAGGCCATATTTCCCCAGAACCCAGAAGCTGGGCCCCTGTTCCCCTCCTCCCTCAGACCTAGGAGTCCAGACCTCTGACCTCCTCCTCCCTCAGACCCAGGAACCCAGGCCCCCAGCCCTTCTTCCCTCAGACTCAGGAGATCAGTCCCCGGTCCCACCTTTCTCAGACCCAGGAGGCCAGGCCACCAGCCCCCTCGTCCCTCAGACCCTGCTGTCCAGACCTCTGGCCTCCTCCTCCCTCAGACCCAGGAGTCCAGGCCCCCAGCCCTTCTTCCCTCAGACCCAGGAGATCAGTCCCAGTCCCTCCTCTCTCAGACCCAGGAGTCCAGGCCCCAGCCCCTTCTGTCTCAGATCCAGGAGTCCAAGTCCTTATTCTTTCAGGATATTAGAAATAATAGATATTTAGATAGATAATAGATATTAGATAATAGATATTAGACCAACTGGGCTCAGATTACCTAAGCTCCCAGCCCCATACCTTGGACACCAGTGCCTCCAATTCCCTTCAGATCCCAGGGCTGAGAGGCAGCCCCATGGACCTGGGGTGTGATCCTAGTCATCAACAAAGACCCTGCTCAGACAAACATCTGTGGCCTGCCTGAGACAAACAAGGGAGAGCCAGTCTGTCTGTCCATGAGGGTGGCCTCTCCCCAGTATTCTTTGACCTCACAACACCTCTTTCTCAGCCCGGCAGGAAAGCAGCTGGGTCCTGAGGCTGGTGCAGACAGAACAGCCCAGCCATTTCCTGCCCTGTGAGCTGGGTGAGCGGACACCAGTCAGTGAGAACCAACATGAATGGCAGCCGTCACCGGTCAGTAGGTGAGTCATGGGCCAATGCGGTCTGTGGAGCGTGAAGTCTGAGGTGTGGTTCCCCATCGTGCAGGGCCCAAGGGCTTCGGGGCGGATGAGAGTGTGGGTCCGCGGCGTGGCCCCTAGGTGGCGCCGTGTAGCACCCGCAACTCTGGCGGTGAGACCCAGAGCACAAAGGATAGACACCCAGGGCAGAGACAGCCAGTATCTGGGCAGGAGAGCAACGCTCAGGAGAAGCCAGAATGGAAAAAAAATAAAATAAATAAAAGGGAGGGAAAAGCAAGAATGAGAAAACAAATAGACATAGAAATAGAAAACACAGCCGAGGCGGGTGCGTAGCTGACTCAGTTGGAAGAGCAGGTGACTCTTGATCTCAGGGTCCTGAGTTCGAGCCCCGGGTTGGGTGGAGCAATTACTTAAAAATAAAATAAAATAAAATAAAAAAGGGGGAAACAAAACTGAGAACAGAAATCAAGAACACAAGATGCCAAAGCAGATATGATCATAAAGAGAGACTGCTACAAGAGACAGAATGGGAGACAAACTCAGGTTAAGTCAAGTCTGGAGAAATCTAGACAAATGCCAAGGGTGAGATACAGAGAGGCTGAGGGAGGAGAAAGTAAATAGACAAAGACCAGCCTTCAGGAGAGAGCACAAAGTGAAAGGAGACCCAGAGAAAGGAGGAAAAACAAAGAGACAGAGTGATGCCAACACCTGGAAAGAAACTGACTCAGGGATGCCTAGAGACAGAGTATATCCAAGAGATAGAGAAGGGAGAGGCAGAAAAACACACCCACAGGGCAGAGAGAAGGAGCCGGGCAGTGCCAGGTTGACAATCAGCAATGGCCACCACGCACTTGGGAGGTCCCTCTGGCCATCAAGACCCTCTTGTCCTGGAAGAAGCTGACTTTATCCTTCCAGGACATTTCTGTAGGGGTGGGGTGGGGTGTCCCACCTCAGCTCAGGGAAAGGGCTCTACCATCTGACACCCCAAGCCATGGGAATTGGGTCCAGGGGATGGTAGACGGGCTACTGGGACAAAGAGTGTGAAAAGATTGGGCTGAATCTTAAAATAAATAAATAAATAAATAAGATTGGGCTGAATTAAAAAACAAGGAAGGGGAGAGGGAGGGGGACAGGCACAAAGTAGGGCTCTGCAACGTGATGGAGCCTCCTGGGGTCTCATTACAGCCTAGGACTGTCCCCAGCACAATCCAGGGGTGTCCTCTCAGCAGGGATGTGACCATCAGAGCCCAGCACTGTCTTTGCATAGCTCAGCACTGCCCTTCATGCTTCAGGACTGTGCCCCCATCACAGCCCAGGAAGGGCCCCCCTGGTAATGCAGTGCTATCCTTTGTCTCAGCCAGGGAATGTCCCTATTACAGCCCCAAACGGTCCCAGTCAAAGCCCCAAACTGTCCTCATCATGGCCCAGGACCGATCCCATCACAAGTAGATCTGTCCCATGATAGCCCAGGACTCTCCCATCGCAGACCAAGACTGCCTCACAGCAGCTCAAGACTCCACCAAACTGCCCCGGACTCTCCCACCGCAGCCCAGGAGTGGCACCATCAGAGCCCAGATTGTCCAGGGATAGCCCAGCGTCAGTCACCCCAAAACTCAGAACAGTAACAATGGGCCCTGCTCTCAATCAAGCTGGGGCAGGAGTCCCGGGGCGGGGCAGGGGCAGAACAGGAGGCGAACACCCCTTTTCCTAGTGTGATGGTGCCGCCGGGCACGGCTGTAAAGATCCCTTCTGCGAGCTGTCAGCGTTTCCTTCCTCGCGGAGAAACTGCGCTGTAAAACCCCATTCTCCAAAACTCTGCGGGTCGACCTCTTCGGGGTCAGAAGGGACCGGGAGGACCCGTCTCTGGGACAGCGGGAAGCTGGAAGGCTGATGCGCAGCTCCGGAGGAGAGCTTGCAGGGACAGTCCGCATACATCCTAACTTCTAGTTCAAGAGAACCGGGCCGTGGGTCCAACTCCCAGTCCAGACCCGAGATCCGCGCCTTCATCCTACGCGCACCCCCAGAAGTTCGGGGCGTCTTATCCCGGCGCCCCCACAGGCTGGAGGTTACCCCCTTCTTAACCCCCACCAGCCCCAGCCCGGGGGCTGTCCCATTACTGTACCCTCTTCCGTGTTTCCCTCGCACCTCCCGCTGGTGGCCCCATCCCACCAACTACCTCCCTCCACCTCCCTCGCCCTTAAAGCCTCGTGCACCTCTCCAAAAGACCCCCTCCTTCTCGGTGCTCCGCAGCGGAACCCGAGCGCCGGGGGGCGCGAAGCCGGACGGGGCCGGGAGCTAGTGGTCCACCCGGAAGTGGGCCTCCCCCGCCTCCCCACCCCCTCTCCCGTTTCCCGGGTCCGGGTCCGCGAACCCACCTGTCCCAGTGCGGCTGCGGCCATGGTCGGTGCGGCGGGTAACTGTGCTCGCCCGGGGCGCGGCCCCGGAGAAAGACGTTCCGGCCCCGCCCCGCTCACGCCCCCTCCCGCTGGAGGGCTGCTTGCCCTACGCGGCAGGCGGGTCGGGCCGCCCCAATTATAGGGCGCGGGTGGGGAGCTGGGCCCTGCCAGAGGGCGCATGCGCTGGAATCTGCGGGGCTAGGGGAGTAGGTGGACATGCACCCTCCTCTCAACTCCCACCCAGATTCTGTTCTCGCCACACGATCGCTGTGCAAGACAGTGCCTGAAGTTTTTTTTTTGTTTGTTTGTTTGTTTTAAATGCATTTTAATAGGTACTGTCAGGGAACCCTAACGAAGATAAGCAGCCTGAGGCAAGCTAAAAGACCAAGAACTGGAAAGTCTGCGTGTCTCCATCCCTTGGTGATAAGGCAGAGAGTGCTTTGCTGTAAGTGTCGTGGCGGGTGCATATAGCATGCAAATGAAAAGGAAAAGGACCCTGGAAAAAGGCCTCTGAAAAGGGTGGCACGTAGGGATGGATGAAGGGGTCGCAGTCAACCCCCCCCCCCAGTTGGAATATAGTTTTTCCTTCCAAGGAGAAAATGTATGTGTATTCTTTATAACTTTTTAAGAGATCCAACACACATGGGGCAGCTGGGTGCCTCAGTCCGTTAGGCGTCAGACTCTTAGTTTCCACTCAGGTCATGATCTCAAGGTCCTGAGATCGAGTCCCACACAGCGCAGAGTCAGCTTGTGATTCTCTGCCTTTCCCTCTCCCTCCCCCTCTGCCCCTCTTCCACGCTCACATATTCATTCTCTCTAGAATGAATAAATACCTGAAATAAATAGGGATGCCTGGGTGGCTCAATCGGTTAAGGCTCCGGCTCTTGATTTCAGCTCAGGTCATGCTATCGGGATCAAGAGATAGAGCCCATCTCTGGCTCTTTGCTCAGCGCAGAGTCCGCTTGTCTCTCTCCCTCTCCCTCCCCTCTTCCCCCCCCCCAAATAAATAAATAAATATCATTTTTAGAAAAGATACAACACACATGGTTCCAGTCCCATCAGTGAGACCCGAAAAATTTTAATCCACCAACGCATGAGTGAGCCTCTAAGGACAGCCCCTAGAGCCCCTGGGGTAGTTTTAGCTGGTTATGCCCCCTTGTGAGTGTCTCCCCAATGACAGAACCCCCAGGGGCAGAGTTAGCTAATTACAGCTCATCAGGATCCTTCTAATCCCTAGCAATTCAAACCTGCATCAGTGCCCCCTATACCGAACTCCTCGGTCACTGTGGCCCCAAAACCTCCTGAGGTCAGGATTCCCCCAACTCCTGCATCCGGATTACAAGAACCAAACTCTTGTTCCTGTTGGGTCCTCAAACTCCGATTCCTGGGCCACTGTGCCTGCATAATTCTACTCTGGGATATTCTGCCCCGAATTCTGTCCCCGGCTCACTGTCACCCAGCCCTAACTACCACAGGCCTTGGCAAATTGCCAGCCTTCCCACACAAAGTCTCACCCAGTTTGGTTTCCTATGCCCCAGTCTTCCTCTCCCACCACCGGGCCTGGAGCCCGAGGGGCGTGGCAGCCACGACCGCACCCACCCCCGCCTCAGCCAATCAGCGGTTGCCGCAACCCTCCGAAGCGGCCAATCCGCAGCAGTCATGCGGCCCCACCCCCACCCCCCCCACACACTGGGGAAATTCAACCCAAACTCGGCCCCGCGCGCCTGAGGGAATCCAGGGTACGCTCTTCCCTAACTGGGGAGTCCACGCCCCATGTTTCCTCCTCCCACAAACCCAGGAGTCCAGGATCCCAGCCCCTCCTCCCTCTGACCAAGGACTCTCAACCCTTGCTGCTGCTTCCCGCAGAACTTCTGGAGCCCGCCATCCTCCTATTCCACAGCGAGCGAGCTCATAACTCCATTCCCTTAAGGACCTAGAATATCGAGGAGGCCCTTTTGTTTCACCTCCACTATTATCTCCTAATAGGGTTTAATTTATTCTCCCCTGCGGGCCTTTGTATTAGCTAGGGTAAAGCCGACCGGCAGTACCTCCCCAGGAGCCTGCTGCAAGGCCTGCCGGGAGTTGTAGTCCCTCGGGTCGAGGCTACGCGCGGAAACACCTGGGACTGGGAGCGCGGACGCCGTCCTTGAGTGGCAGAACTCGAGGGGAGAAAAAATTGTCGTGATGCCCTCCTCCTCCTGGCTACAAACTGGTTTTATGGGAACTCGCGGGGTGGTTTGGCACATTGATAAGTGGAGTTAATGTCTAGGGTTGGGTTCTGTAGATGGTAGAAGCTGAAATCTGGGATACTGAGTTTGGGGTGGGAGTCCTAATCAGGAAGGCCCGCGTGGAAATTTGGGAAATCAGGAAGGGATGGTGGGGGGCTCCACGGGGGTGCCCGGAATGGCCTTGCGCCCATACCCCAGCTCTGCACCCCCAGTCACAAACAGCTCAATCCCGGTGCAGAAATTGGCTTCCGAGGCCAGGAACACAGCAGCGGCCGCCACGTCTGCTGGCTGGCCCATGCGGCCCAGGGGCTGGGGAGAGACCGGAGGCAAAGGAGAACACGTGAAGCACCTGGCCTGGCTGCCTTGCCCTAAGCCACTCCCACAGCACCTGGACCGGGCCCCCACCCCTACCTGGGCCAGGGTGCCCTCTCGGATTGTGGCGGCAGGGTCAGGCGTGAAGGCTGCCAGCTCCTCCCACAGTGGGGTCCAGATGTTTCCTGGAGAAATGCTGAGGGAAAGGAGAAGAGGGTGTCAGGGATGGGTGCCACCAGCGTGGCCTCTGGGCTCACTTCCAGCCTTCTCTGCCCAGCTAGAGCTGCTCACCAGTTGACCCGGACGCCATATTGACTCTCATCCAGGGCCAAGGCTTTGGTCATGGCTGTTACTGCCCCCTGTGGAAGATGATTTGGAGGGAAAGTTCAGTCCAGGGAAGAGAAGTTTCCTCCTGTTCTCTCCTCCAGCCAGTGGGTGTCAAGTTGGGGCATGAGAAACAGGGTAGTCATGCCTCGGGGCTATGGTAACTGGAGGGCCCGGCAGGGAATGAAGGAAGGGGCAGGGTACCTTCGTGGCCACATAAGGAACCGCCTGGACCTGGCCAATGGCCCCCACCAGACTGGAGATGTTGATAATGTTCCCCCGGCTCTTCCGCAGGTGGGGGAGGGCAAGCTGGGGAGACAGAAGGCAACGTCAGCCACGCGGCCCCTTGGTTCCACCAGCCACACCAAAACACATCCTGATGCCTGGGTCAATGGCCATTGCCCTGGTATGCTCACTAGGCGGATCACAGTGCCTTGTGGGGACAGCATTCTAGAACTCCAGAGAGGGCCTTCACTGGTTTGCCCCAGGGTCTCCAGGTCTGGTTAGGGAGTCCCTCCATGTCTGGAAGGCATTTTTCTCCATGTCTCCTCTCCTATCTCCCTCCCTCCCCTTTGTGTCCCTGACCCTCTCCCCCACCTCCCTCCTCACCCCAGCCTGCCCCCCTTTCTCTAGGTCTCTGTCTCCCCCCTCTAGGTCTTTGTATGTTACTCAAACTCGTGTCCAGATCAAGACAGGAAAATGCAAGATGGCTGCATATTTTGCAAAAATGGGAGGAAGCTCTTTTATCCATAAGGGGAAGATAGTCTCTCTGAACTTTAGGGAGAACTCTGTGGTCAGAACATGATGTGGGAGACCTTCAGGAAATGCACCCATTTTTACCAGCTTCTCCCCTGCAACTCTCTGGCTCCCCAGAGGTCCCTAAACTAATTCTTTCTCCCTCTCCTCCCTTCCTCTGTCTCAGCTCTTTTCACTACACATGACCTTGAATAAATTCAAATCCTATCCTTCCCCTCACTTTCTTTTGACAGCTGAGCTGGCCGGTCAAGACCTGTTCCTGCCACTAAACATTAATGAATGCAAGCAGGCTCCCCTGGGGGTTCCCAGAGTGGGAATCGAAATTCCCTCCCTCTCTGGGTCACCCTACCAGCAATTTTAAACTTTCTCTGCTCCCTTCAAAAACAGCCTTCACCTTTTCTGAGGACCATGTCTTCAAACATACCCTGCGTGTCCCAACCTCAGGGCCTTTGCACTTGTGGTTCCCTCTGTCTGGAGTACTTTTGCTCTGATACACATGGGACTCTCCTTGAGTGACCAGCCACTCCAGTCTGCCCAGCACTGAAGGGCTCCTGAGGACATGGGATATTCCTGGGACAGTCCTGGGTAAACCGAGTTCCTCAAAAATTCCAAATCTCGTTCAGATGTCACCTTCTCAATGAGGCCAACCCTGACATCCTATTTATTAATTTAAAGATTTATTTATTTAAGAGAGAGAGAGAGCACAGAGGGAGAAGCAGACTCCCCGCTGAGCAGAGAGTCCGATGCGGGGCTCCATCCCAGCACCCTGAGATCCTGACCTGAGCAGACACATTTAACTGACTGAGCCACCCAGGTGCCCCTGAATTTATCTGTTATGTGCCTGGCCCTGTTGTCAGCCTTTCACTCAGATTAGCTCATTTAATCGTCAGGACAATCCTAGAAGGGATAGTCCATAGCTCCTTTTTCCAGGTGAGGAGACTGAACAGGTGACCGAAGCTCTGAGGGTCATGCGACAACTTTCAGAGCCGGTATTTCCACCCCACAGTGAGCAGAGACCAAAACCCACAACCACAAAAAGAATTTCTGACAATCTAAGTCTTATGAACTTTAAGATAGGGGCGCCTGGGTGGCTCAGTGGGTTAAAGCCTCTGCTTTCAGCTCGGGTCATGATCCCAGGGTCCTGGGATCGAGACCCACATCAGGCTCTCTGCTCAGCGGGGAGCCTGCTTCCTCCTCTCCCTCTGCCTGTCTCTCTGCCTGCTTGTGATCTGTGTCTGTCAAATAAATAAATTAATTAAATCTTTAAAAAAAAAAAAAAGAACTTTAAGATAATATGAGCACGAGTGCCATCATTATGTGGGCACTAGGGGGGGTTGACTCCTCCAACCTCTCCCCAGGGACCTGACTCCCTCCCATCTCCACGCCCCCCAACCCCCACCCCTGCCTCCATTCCTTTCTCTCCTCTCCCTTATTGGCCTTGGAACCCTCCTCCTCAGCCTGGGCCTTGCCCCTCCCCTCCCCACCCCCAGGTACTGCCCCTGCCTTTTCTTTCCCTTTTTTTTTTTTTTTTAAGATTTTATTTATTTTTTTGACAGAGAGAGACACATTGAGAAAGGGAACAGAAGCAGGGGGAGTGGGAGAGGGAGAAGCAAGGAGCCCCATGCGGGGCTTGATCCCAGGATGCTGGGATCATGATCTAAGCTGAAGGCAGATGCTTAATGACTGGGCCACCCAGGCACCCCTGCCTTTTCTTTCCTAAACCTTCTCCTTGCCCAGCCTTATAACTCCCTCCCCACCCCCATCCCGCAACCATGAGGTCCCTAAGGACTGCACAGGCTGCGTGATGTGGGTCATTCGCCACCCTTCTCCTAGCACTGGGCACACAGCTAGCACTGAATAAATATTTGTCCCACACTCCCTGCTGTCCTTTTCTCAACCCTCCCACTCATGTTCTTTGGCCCATAGCCCAACCCCCACCTCCAACGTCACCTAGCACCTCGGAGTAGCCACATCAAGGATGTGCTGGAATCTTACTGGCCCGCCCTTCCCTTCTCTCCCTCCCTCCCTTCGGACGCCTGACTGTCCCGGGGAGCCTGCAGCCTTGCTCTGGCCTGACTCCATTGCTCCTAAATGTTGGGGTTCCTGGGTCTGCTTCTCTCTGAGATCTGCCAGGGGAGCCCCTGCTTTGCTGGTTTCCCATCAGCGTATGCTAAGTCTCCCTTAGAACCACCTTCTGGAGCTCCCCTGCCACCTTTGGGTCCCTCCATCTCTGAAGTCTCCAGGGCAAAACTCAACTCCGTTGTCTCCTCCTAGAATCTGCCTTTCTTCCTGATTTCCAGCCTCAAACCTGGGGTCCACTCCCATCCAGCTTCTCAAGCCAGAGAGGTGGGAGCCTTCTAGAGCCTCCCTCTCCCTAAGTTCTCATCCGATCCCTCATCAAGCCCTGGCCATTGTACCTTCTAAGGATCTAAGGACCTCCAGAATTTCTACAATTGTCTCCCCCTCATTCATTCGACAAACATTAACGGAGCACCTCGTATGTGCCAGGTACTGTGGTACATCAACAGGGATACCAGAGGAAACAAGACCAAAACTTCTGTCCTCACAGAGCCCAAGATGTGGGGAGGAAACAGCAATAAACAAATAAAAGAGTGTAATGGAATGTGCTAGAGTGTGGTCAGGGAAAGTAAAGTAAGATGAGGGGAATGGGAGTGTTGGGCTGGGTGCAGCTGCAAACCCAGATATGATGAACTGTGGGAGGTCTTGAAGAAGCCTGGGCCTGGGCCAGGCAGAAGGAACAGCATGTGCAAAGCCCTGAGGCAAGACAGAGCTGGTGCGCTTGGCACAACAAGGTCACAGTGGTGGGAGGAGAGATCAGAGGAGGAACCAGGGCCAGACCATATGAGGCTATGAAGGCCACCACTTTTTACTTGCACAAATGCCAGTCTCCTAATACTGGTTTTCCCATTCCCACACTCTGTCTTCTGATTTGTTCTGCAGACAAGAGCCAGAGTGATTTTTTTTTTTTTAAGTAATTTCTACCCCGACATGGGGCTCGAACTCACGACCCTGGGATCAAGAATCAGGTCCCCTACTGACTGAGACAGCCAGGCGCCCCTTGAGTGATCCCTTAACATTAATGATCTGTTAGCATTTTTTAAAAGATTTTATTTCTTTATTTTGAAAGAAAGAGAGCGAAAGAGAGAGGGTATGCATACGTGTGTGGGGGGAGGGGCAGAGAGAGTCCCAAGCGAACTCCACACCTAGTGCAGAGCCCAACAGCGGCTTCGACCTCATGACTGTGAGATCATGACCAGAGCCCAAACCAAGAGTCAGAAGCTCAACCCACTGAGCCACCCAGGCGCCCCACCATCTGTTAGTATTGATGGCATCACATCGCTTCCTTGCTCAAATACCTTCCATGGCTCCCTATTGCAGTTGAGAGAAAGACAAGACACTTCAGCATGGCCCTTGGGTCCCCATATGATCTGCTCCCCCACAGTCTTCCTCACCAGCCCCTTGGCTTGCACGACTCAGCCTCTCCACAGTGCCCAGCTCTCTGGAGGCCAGGCCTTCGCATCAGCTGTTCCCTCTGCCAGGAACACTTGTACCTCAGGCGTAACCACATCAAGGACCCCTTTGGATTATTGTTCGTCTGGCTCTCCTCCCCCCTTCTCCCAGCCTGGAGAGCCACCCCCCCCCACCTTACCCCACTCTCTAGTCAATGCTGCTCATTGTTCACTTCCACTGGGAAGCCCACCCTGAAATTACTTAAAAATAAAATCTCGGGCTCCTGGGTGGCTCAGTCAGTTGCGCATCTGCCTTGGGCTCAGGTCATGATCCCGGGGTCCTGGGATCGAGATCCCTCTCTCCCTGCTCCCTCTCTCTCCCAAATAAATGAATAAAATCTTTTTTAAAAAAAGAATTCTAATAATCTGAATAAGAAGGACTCTGGATTACCCAAGACCACGGTGTCAATGTTAATCTTACTGTGACTGCGTGAGAGAATGTTCTCGTTTTTAGGAAATATTCCCCAGATTTGGGGACCTTAGGACACCTTAGGAGACATGAATGGACGCCTGCAATTTACCGTCAAACCAAGAGGCAGAAAAATAAAGCAAACAGAGTAAAATATTAGCAATGAGGAGTCTGGGTATACAGGCGTTCTCTGTACTATTCTGACAAGATTTTATGAGTCTTAAGCTATGTCAGTAATTATAAGTAAACATTTAAATCCATTGGTAGTATTTGTGAAGTTCCTACTGATGAAATTATAGGATGTCTCAGTAGGAGGTGGCAGGAGGCAATGGATAAAACAATTTAATAAAACGCTTCTAATTGCTAAGCTAGAGGTGTAGAATGGGAGATAAGCCTCTCTTATTCTTAAAACACACCTGGATGGTTACAGTCCCCAGGACCTTTGCACAGTCTTTTTGGGGTAAGTGAAATATTCCATGGCCTAGTTCTCCACTTCCCTTCCTCCCACTCAGGATTCAGCTTAAAGCTCACCTTTTCCCTTCTACTTCTGCCAAGTTTCATCTGCCCCATGTATATTTCTGTAAGCTTGACCTGAGTGGGGTAGATTGCTGGAAACAGAATGGGGCAAAGTTCACGATAAGCCATAAGAATGTGCAGATAGTAAATTGTGCCAGGCATGTTCTAAGGGCTTTATGGGTATTTTACCCTCACACAATTCTCAGGAACAACCCAGTGAATGAGATGCCATGATTAGCTTCATTTTTCACAGGAGAAAACCGAGGTGTATCAAATAAATAAATAAAATCTTTAAAAAAATTTTTTTTAATTCGTATGTCTTCTTTATTTTTTTAATTTTTTTAAAGATTTTATTTATTTATTTGACAGAGAGAGATCACAAGGAGGCAGAGAGAGAGGGGGAAGCAGGCTCCCCGCTGAGCAGAGAGCCCGATGGGGGGCTCAATTCCAGGACCCTGAGATCATGACCTAAGCCGAAGGCAGAAGCTTAACCCACTGAGCCTCCCAGGTGCCCCTCGTATGTCTTTTTTAAATAAAGATTTTATTTGTTTGACAGAAAGAGACACAGCGAGAGAAGGAACACAAGCAGGGGGAGTGAGAGAGGGAGAAGCAGGCTTCTAGCTGATCAGGGAACCCAATATGGGGTTCGATCCCAGGATTCTGGGATCATGACCTGAGCTGAAGGCAGACGCTTAATGACTGGCGACCCAGGTGCCCCAATAAATAAAATCTTTTAAGAAAAATAAAAAAATAAATAATGGGCACTGAAAGATTATATATATAATTACGTATATAATATATAATTAGATATATACCCTCTTTGTGGGTTGTGGTATATGTCTTACCCTATGGAGGTGAACACAAGTGAGGGCTAGGAGTGAGGGTTCATGGGTTGAACAAGGGCACCCAAATGCCCAGAAACATTTCACCAGGAACTCTGGTGAGACCTCAAAAACAGTGCCTGAGGGGCACCTGGGTGGCTCAGTGGATTAAAGCCTCTGCCTTTGGCTCAGGTCATGATCTTCAGGTCCTGGGATCAAGCCCCACATCGGGCTCTCTGCTGGGCGGGGAGCCTGCTTCCCCCCTTCTCTCTGCCTGCCTCTCTGCCTACTTGTGATCTCTCTGTAAAACCAATAAATAAAATCTTAAAAACAAACAAACAAACAAAAAAACAGTGCCTGAGCTTCCTCACACTGGTGACCACCTTCCCCCCGCCCCCCGCCGCCCACCCACTCCTGGGGCTCCTCCCTTCTCTGTCTACAACGTCTTTTCCGATCTACCCTAGCTTCAGGCTGGTGAGCTCCCAACTGATGACTCCAGGCCTCTCCCCTCACCCCAGACCCAAGAATCCCAAGGGGACGGGCTAAGCACCCCACCCTCACCCCCACCCAAAGGGCGTCCCTGTGGCAACGGATGGCAACTCAGTGCCATGGCCAGTTGCTGGCAGTAGGGGTGGGAGACCAATAAACCAAAACCTCCACTCCATTCTTTCTCGAGTCCACTCCCCCACGTCTAGTCTACAAGGAAATCCCGACGATTCTACCTTCAAAATGGATGGGGAATTGGAACGCTCCCCTACAAATCCACAGCCACCGGCCTGGTTGGATTCAAATGACCTCCTGCCTGGACCACTCTGGGGCCACTGCCTCCGCCCTCGCCCCCGCCTGTTCCCAACGCAGCCGCCGTAGGGCTCCGGTTCCCACTAATGGCCGCTCACTCCGTGGGCTTTAGGTTCAAGTGCCAAAGCACTGTGTGGTGGATAAAGACAGATAGGATCTAGGCCCTTTCGTCCTCATTATGCTCTCACCTTCCCCCCTCCCCCCCTTGCCCTGCTTCAGTCGCACTGGACTCTCGCTGTTCCTCCTCCGCTTGGAGCAGTCCCACCCCAGGGCCTTTGCACAGGCTGTTCTCTGCTGGATCACTCAGCCTCACCCATATCCTTGACTCAAGGATACCTACACCTAACTCAGTTAAGTGACTGCCTTTGGCCCGGGTCATGACCCCAGAGTCCTAGGATTGAGCCCCGCATCAGACCCCCCTGCTCAGCCAGGAGCCTGGTTCTCCCTCTCCCTCTGCCTGCTGCTCTGCCTACTTGTGCTCTCTCAAATAAATAAATAAAATCCTTTTAAAAAATGATAAAAACAAAAATAAAATACTCCAGCAAAAAGAAAGAAAAAGAACAGGAAAGGAAAGCAAAGTAAAGCAGGAAAACAGTAAGAGGTCCACGGGAAGAATGACAGAATGTTGCTAACGGTTGCTGGGTGATAGGTGTGTGGAATTTGGTCCACAATCTCTCTGCTTTTGGGTATGCTTGCAAAATGTTAAAATAGTGGGCGCCTGGGTGGCTCAGTGGGTTAAGCCTCTGCCTTTGGCTCTGGTCGTGATCTCGGGGTCCTGGGATCGAGTCCCACCTCGGGCTCCCTGTTCAGCGGGGAGCCTGCTTCCCCCTCCCCCTCTGCCTGTCTCTCTGCCTACTTGTGATCACTCTCTCTCTCTGTCAAATAAATAAATAAAATCTTAAAAAAAAAAAAAGTTTTCTAAAAGAGTCTTTACACTTGCCCATCACTCTTCCGGCCAGCATTTATCACTCCCTGACATTATATTCTATTTACTTGCTCACTGCCTGTCCCCCACTACCAGCCTGTCGGCTGCCCAGGAACAAGGATGTTTGTCCTCTGCTGGGTGCACACGGCGGGTACTTAGCAAATAATTGTTGAATGAATTAAAATGTGCTGTGATGAAAATAAACAGGCTGTTACAGAGAACAGATATGCACATGCATGCACACTGGTGCTACAGAAGCAAGAATGGTTGGGAAGGAGAGGCCCTTAAGCAGCAGACCTTTATGGGGCTTAGAGGGCAAGATGGGGGAGGCAAAAAAGCTCTTCGTTCCCCAGAGCTCTTCACAGGGTGGAAGGGCTGTTAATGCCTATCACGGACTCCCTGCCTCAACACTTCGCCCCTGTTCCTAACATCCCCCAACACTACCAGCACAGCACTCTGGAATGTTCTGGAAGGTTCCTAAGGGGACTGGGCCAAGTAGCCACACAGTTAAGCTTTGGCTGGATGTAGGGATTTGCCCCCCCCCCTACTTGTTACAAAGGACGGAGTCCTTCTGGAGTCAGGTCAAACCAAGGCAGAGGAAAACTTCTGCTCTGAGAAAAAATGCATCTGAGAATCTCATCATCAGGAGGCCCTCTGGCCTGGCAGCCAGGGCTGCGGTCCTCACCTTGGTCAAGGTGTATGTCCCCAGCAGGTTCAGCTCCAGCAGCTGCCTGAAGCCCTGGGCAGAGGTCTCCTCGGGCCACTGCGGAGGTGGGTCTGAGGGTGGGGGACAGAGAGGTGGAGAGAATGAGGGAGTGACACAGAGAACAGGGAAGAAATAGGGATATGGCGAGGAGGGGGCACCAGCGGAGGGCAGGGGACAGACAAGAAGGTCAGGGATCCTGAAAAGGAAGGGAGGTTGCATAACAGTGAATTAAAAAGCCGCCTTATGCCAGAAGGCCTGGGTTGCGATATGAGCCCCTGCCACTTCCTGGCTGTGTGACTCTGGGCAAGTCCTCAGCCTCCCTATCTACAGAAGGAGGATGACACTTTGCTCTCAGGCTTAGAAGTTTCCCAAATCTTGGGGCACCTGAGTGACCCAGTGGGTACAGCACTTGATCTCAGGTCTTGATCTCAGAGTTGTGAGTTCAAGCCCTATGTTGGGCATGGAGTCTACTTAAAAAAAAAAAAAAAAAAAAAAAAAAAAGGAAATTTCCCAAGTCAGCGCACCTGGCTGTCTAGGTCGGTGGAACAAGTGGCTCTTGATCTCGGGGTCATGAGTTCAAGCCCCCACATTGGATGTAGAGATTGCTTAAAAATAAAATCTTATACTCTATGTTGGCTAATTGAATTTAAATTAAAAAGATAAAAAACAAATAAAATCTTAAAAGGATTTTCTTTTTATGAGTCCGTACGTGTGCCTGACACTTAGTCCCATAACGTATTTATAAAATAAATAGGAGGAATTGGGGGGAGGGCTTAGGGTTAGAGGGACAGAAAAATCAATGTTCACAAGAAAAGGAGCTGAGAAGATAGAAGACAAGGGGAGGAAGAGAACAAGACAGAGGCCAGAAAGTTGAGGGAATCTTGGATTGTTCTTTCCCAGGGACCCAGAGCTTGTGTCCTGGCTTCCTCAGGGAGCTTTCAAACATCTTCAGAGAATCCGCCCTGGAACCTCTGTTGAAAACAGCTCCTGGGTGCCTGGGTGGCTCAGAGGGTTAAGCCTCTGCCTTTGGCTCAGGTCATGATCCCGGGGTCCTGGGATCCCCAGGGTCCTGGGATCGAGCCCCGCATCAGGCTCTCTGCTCAGCAGGGAGCCTGCTTCCCCCTCTCTCTCTGCCTGCCTCTCTGCCTACTTGTGATCTCTGTCAAATAAATAAATAAAAATCTTTAAAAAAGAAAGAAAGAAAGAAAGAAAAAAGCCCCTGCCATTTTCTAGACCCTAATCTTTTTTTTTTTTTTTTTTTAAGTAAGCTCTACGCCCAACATGGGGCTCAAAATCACAACCCTGAGTTCAAGAGTCGCAGTCTCCCCTGACTGAGCCAGCCAGGCAGGCTGACTTTATTTTTATTCATAGCCTTTATCACCCCCGACATACTGGTATATACAGCCGATCCTGTTATTCAAGGTGTTACGCTCTATAAAATTTCAATGACAATAAATTAGTGATCATTCATCCACTGCTCCCAAGGGAAATAGGACCTATTATGTAATAAGATGTAAATGTTATGAACCAAACGCGTCCCCCGCGCCCCCCAAATTCATTTACTGAAATCCTAACCTTCGATGTGATGGCATTTGGAGGGGAGGTCTACAGGGGGATTTTCAAGTCCTGAGGATGGATCCCCTTAGAAAACAAACCCCAGAGATCTCCTTGTCCTTTCCACCCTGTGAGGATACGGCAAGAAGCAGGCCCTCCCCAGACACGAATCCGCTGACCTCTCCGTCTTGGACTTCCCAGCCTCCAAAGCTGTGAGAAATCAACCTTTGTGGTTTAAGCCCTCCCCGTCTGTGGCACTTCTGTTCTAGAACCCCTAAGACACTATATATATGTTTGTATGTAGACACCGTATATACATAAACTTAATAGATATTTGCAAATCAGATTAGAGCCTTAAATCCTCAAAACAACTCCTACCAGGACACTCTATTTATTTATTTTGCAAACAAGGAAATAAGGATCAGAGGTGTTAAGCCATTAGCTGGGGGCTGCCGGAGTTGGGATGTTAAATCATCCAGATGGCCCCAGGGCAGTTCCATCCTCTGAAACTAGCTGGCAGGGGTAGGCCTCGTTTGGGAACAGGTGCTCGGGCAACTAGGACTTTTCTCACCACTCCCCATACAAATCTGCAAATCTTTCAGAGGCAATGAGGACTGAGGCTGGGGTTACAAGAAAAAAATTTTGTGTGTGAGTTGGTGATTTCACGAATACGGAAACCACAAATGGCGAAACTTAACTGTATCCTTTCTTGTCTATTTCCTTCCTCGAGTGTGTGAATCCCAAGAAAGCAAGAATGTTTTTGTCTGTTTCGTTCACTGCCTACTCCCCCATCCCCAGGAAAGTACTTGGGGCATAGTAAGCACTCAGTAAATATCTCTTGAATGTACACACAGAGAAAGGATGAACTAGTATTTGCCATCTTTTTCACCTCTACAGCAATTTAAAGAGGAAAATGCAGCCCAGAGAGGTTGAGCCACTTGCTTAAAGTTGCCCAGCCATTAAGCAGGGGGAGGGTAATAGAAGAGGCTATCTCTTTGATCACCGCTTTGCTGTGTGACCTCAGTGTGAACTCATCTCTCTGAGCCCTGGTTTACCAGCAGGAGAGATTCTTAGGAAGGGTAGTCATTAACCTGATGGCATTCTCCCTTCCAAGTCACCACACTAAGACCCATAAAGTTTCATGCATAAGGATAACTTCATAGTCATTAGCAACAAGAAGGGCCATCCACGTCACCGCATGGATAAGCTAATTGAGACCACAAGATTTCTGGAAGCTGTTTGCCCAAGATGGTTCTGGTAATTACGAGGCTGAGTAGTTCACCTTATTCAATGCTCACAACTCTGCAATGATGATGATCGTTACCATCATTCCCATTCTAGAAATACAGGAACTGAAGCATGGAGAGGAGAGGGCACGGGTCTGGAGGCACCCGGCAGGGAAGGAACAGAGCGAGGACGTAAGCCCAGGAGCTGGGGAATCCCAAAGCTGTACTGTCCCATCCAAAGGGACAGAGAAAGGGATGGGGAAGACGAAGGGGAAACTGAGATGGGGTTAGGAAGGGATGGGAAGCCGGGTTGACAGCAGCGGAGAATGGCCTGTGGGCCTCACAACTCACGGTAGCCAGCGTTGTTGACCACACAATCCAAGCGGCCAAAACGGCGGACGGTCTCAGAAATGAGGGTCTGGGGACAAAGATGTCTTGTAAGTGAGCAGTGCCGGGCACCCAGCCTGGACTCCCAAAACCAAGGTGGGGAGGGGGAAGCTGGATCACAGCTGAGAGGGGACTCCCCCAAATCACCAAGCATGGCAGGAGAAGAGGAGACAGGAAGCCAGGGTTACCAGAGACCAGAGGGCTGGTTATATTCACACAGCAGAGAGCTCAGCGGGGTCGGGGTGGGGGATGGAGGGCGCACATCAGAGAGACATTGACTGAAGGGAAGGGTTAGACACCCAGAGGCAGGAGAAGAAAACTCTTCCGGAAGGAGGTCCACTGTGAGGAGTTTTCTTGTTGCAGACTGTGACAGGCGTGACAAGAGCCCTGAAGTAGGGAGAGATAAAGAAGAACTTTCCCAGGAGACCCAGAACCTGGCCAGCAGGGAAACCTTGGAAATGAGGCTGAGCCTAAACCTTTGGGACGAGACAGGGATGAAAATAGCTCACCCTCACATCTTCCTCCCGAGTCACATCACAGAGGAGAAAGACAGTTCCAGCAAGCTCCTGCTCCAGGGCCCGGCCCCATGACTCTGCAGGGAGGAAAGGGCTGGAGGGCTGGAGGCCTGGACGCCTGGGTCTGAGGGAGGAGGGGGCTGGGGGCTGGGATTCCTGGGTCTGAGGGAGGAGGGGGCTGGGGGTATGGACTCCTGGGTCTGAGGGAGGAGAGGGGTTAAGGGCCCTCGAGTCTGAGGGAAGAGGGGCTAGGGGTCTGGACTCCTGGGTCTGAGGGAGGAAGGGGTTGGGGGTGAGGACTGAGGGACACTCACCATCTTTGTCACAGATAACTACTTGGGCCCCGCTTTGCACTGAGAATGGAAGAAAAGGTTAGCACCCCCTGCACAGACTCTGGCAAAGGCCTCTGCTGCCCTCTTGTGGCCACCTGGAGTGGGGGCCCATCTTCCCGAACGTTCCCCTCGTGACCCCAAAGTCTCATGATGATCTTCTAGAGCAAAGGGCAGAAAAGTTGACACATATTCTCCCTGGCCACTCCAGGTGCCTGCTGGGGTTCCTGAGCCCCCCATCCCTGGTTCCAGAATAAACCCCAAACCCGCAAACGCCATTCCCCAACCACCCACTTTGTAGGTATAATAACTGAGACCCAGAGAAAAGGAATAACCATTTTTGGAGGCCCGCCAAAAGCTCAGGCCCCAGGCTTATACTACCTACCCCTTCATTAGCATCGCAAATTGGGTTTTAATAAGAACCGTGGCTCCAGTACTGAAGATCCCACGCCCACTAGTTCCCAGGGTCCCTCGTTTGCTAGGCTCCACTGTTCCTGAGCAGCCAGACCCCAACTCACCGAAGGCTCTCACGATCCCGGCTCCGATGCCGCGCCCGCCCCCTGTCACAACCACCACCTTCCCGGCATAACGCGTTCCCGTTGCCATTCTGCTTCGGTCTGTCTTTCCTGTCGCTCTTCTGTGCTTCTTCCCACCTCCAAAGTCGGGTGAAGCCGTGGAGCAGAACCATTAAATAGGGGCTGGTCCGCGAAGCCCGGCCCTGGGGGGGCGTTGCCAGGAAGGCCACAAGCTTGGCAGCTTGGCCCCAGCCCCCTCCGCCCTCAGACCCAGGAGTCCGGCTCCTCCCCACCCATCCCCTCCTTCCTCAAAGTCAGGATTTACGGCGTCCAGCCCCCTCCTCCCTCAGACCCAGGAATCCAGGCCCCAGCTCTCCACGTCAGACCTACAGGTTCCAGACCCTCAGGACGCAGGAGTCCACGACTCCAGCTCTGCCCCGAGGAGACCCCGCGTCACAACCCCAAACAGACAGAGAGAAAGCTATTGACTAAAAGTTCAAAGTTTTAATCCGAATTTGGACAAGTGTTGGGAAAACCAAACTTTGGCCATAGAAACCTCTCTCTCTCCCGGCTACCGAGGGGACCAGGCCACGCCTCCAGGCGCCCTGAGTGGCTCCAGATCGCGGGGCGGTACCTCCGGGCCACGCCCTCACACTCCAATTGGCTGCGGCGCGCCGGCGGGTCAGAAGCTGGACTGCAGCAGCGTGACTCGCAGAGGCCACGCCCCCTCCTCTTGTGTCTGGGCGGGAGGGGCGGTCCCGGATTCCCACGTGGGCTCCCAGGAGGCGGGGCCAGCGCCGCGCCCACTACCTCCGCGGCACAACCCCGCGGAGCGGGAATTGGCCACTGGAGATCTGGGGGGAGAGGTCACCTGGGGGCTGGGGTCTGACGGAGGCGGTGGCGCAGGGGGAAGAGGCTCTCCTCGGGAGTCCAAGTTTCCACCTGGATGGCACGAGTGGGTAGTGAGAATGGCAAACTTTGGGACACAGGAGTCCGGACCCCCAGGGCCTTTCCTCTCAGACCCGGGAGTCGAGCCTCCAGTCCCTTCCTCTCTCAGACCACAAGTCTGGCCCCACTCCCACCCCCAGACTCAGGAGTCCCAAACCCATTGTCCCCTCCTGCCTGGGATCTGGAACTCCCAAACCTTCTAGGGCGCTCTCCCCATCCTGACATAGGATCCCAGCAGCTCTCAGAACCCTCCTGACCAGAACCAAGGATTCCAGGCTCTCGCTCCCTCTTCCCCCAAACCCAGGAATCCAAGGTCCCCAACCCCTCCTCACCTGTCATCATTCTGTGCCACTGCGACGCCTCAGTAGCCAGAGCTTGAGAGAGGCTGAGGACTCTCTCCCGGTGCCCTTCGGCTGTCGGCAAATAAGGGGTGGTATTCCTGGGACTAGGGAAAAAAAAGATTTGGGGGACATCTACAAGGAGCCAGTTCCACTGTGCCGCGCGCGTCCTTCTGGGAATTGTAGTCCCTAGCCCGTGTCTCTAAAAGACTTTAAACAGGCTGTGGCCCTCAAAAAACCTGTGTGCGTCGTGGGATTTGTAGTCTAGCCCTCCCTAAATTTCACCTGCTTTCCTGACACAGGAGCAGGAGTTTGATCCCGACCCAGAGAAACTGCAATTCTCATGCGGATCTATGAGCTTTCTGATGCCCCAAGAAGTCGAGCATCTCTAAAAGGTTTTGCAGTCTGTACTTTAGTACTCAAAAGGCAGCAATAATAATGCTTTCCCTTTGGCAACCTGATTTCCTCCTTCTTGCCTCACTCTCGGTTCTTTACCTGCTCCAGGATCCAGAGCTTCTGAGCCATTTGGGGGCTCCTGAGAGTCCCTGGACTGGCTGCAAAGGAATTGGGGCATTAAAATTCCTCCTCACCGGGAAGTTCCCATGTTCTCATTTTGAGGGTGAAATGAGGGGGGCTCTGAGAGGGAGTGAAATCGCCTCAGAGACAATGTTTAACTTTACACGCATTCCTGGAAAACAGCAAGCATTAAGAAAATCCACCCCCCCCACCCCCCCAACACAGATCCCTTTGCCTTTCGGGAAATGGCTTACCACAGAACCTCTCTTCCTTTGTATGACCTCCACAGGACTGACAGATGACCACCCCCTAATTTACCTACGACAAGGCCAGGAAAGGGCCCTCTAAATTCACAATTTTGGGCTCATAAAGAATTAGCTGAACTGTTTGTCCCCTTCAAACTAACTAGACACAGAGATAAACATTCGGTGTTCAACCGAGATGTCTCCTGATTACAAAAATAACCCCACCTGTAAAATCACCCCACCTATGACTTGTCTAATTACTTCCTAGAAAAGTCTCAGATGAAACATGGGCCGAGACATTCATCTTCAGATCTGGAATGCTCTCCCCATTGTGACAGGATGAATATAATCATTCCCTTACTTGCTCATTGTTTTCCCCTTTGATAACACATAGTAACCAAAAAAAAAAAAAAAAAAGTGGGACCCACAGTCCTGAACTGTGACCCCTGTCCTGAAGGAAAAACATTGGTGATGTGAAGAGGTCTCTGCCTCCCCCACCTGTACCCCCCTAGGGGAGCCATCAGCAGCACAGGGACATATTGGGGTGAACCTTGAATCCCAGCTCTGGGAAAAGAGGGAGGGAAATGCCCATTTTACAGACGGGAAAACTGAGGCTCGCACTAGGCACGGAGGACCCACTACCACCCCACCGCCCCACGTTGCACCCTCTGTTCCCTTCACCCTTGGTTCTGTGTCAGGCTGGCGTCTGGCAGGGGACAGCGTCCTTCCCAGAGTGAGAAGCCGGGGGGAGGCTGGGCGAGGGAGAGGCCGTCCAAACTCCTGGTTTCGGCGTATTCTCTCCATCTGCTCTTGAGCGCTCATCCGAGGCCGGGCGAGGGGAGCCTGGGGAGATGAGAAACACTTTGAGGCCCCAACTTTGGGGCTCCTCTTTCTCTCTCCCCTGAACCACTCAGCCTCTAGTCCTGCCCTTTCCATCCCTAGACTCAGGGGGATCTTTAGGCAGCCAGAGCTGAGATGTCCTCCCAGGTCTCCAAGCACTCTCAGGACAAAGGTGTTTGAGGCCCTCCCTGCCTCTCTGGCCTCATTTTCAGCAGCTGCCCTGCTCAGATCCAAAGCCACAGCCTAACAAACACCCACAGGTTCTGGACATTCTCAGCTTCCTCGCCCTGGTAGTCAGGAGCCGGGCTGTCAACTCTCAGTTCCTGGTGATGAAAAACAACTCTGAGTCAGCTTAGACCCAACAGAAGGAGGAATGACAGACATTCACTAAATTGTTAGGAGGATCCTTTTGGATTGGTCTTCAAAAGGGCTTTTCTGAGCTCTCTTTCTCTCACTCCCGAAACCAGATGGATGACACACACAGGGACAGTGCCATAACGCCATGTGGTAAGTCGAGTGGGGTGGCCACAAGCCAACAACCTTCCAGAAGCTAGGACAGAGGCCTGAAACAGATGCTTCCCCAGCACCTTCCAGAGCAAGCCTGGCCTCACTGACACCTGAACCATGGCCCTCTAGACTTAAGAACTTCAAATGCGGGAGGACAGAGATAAATCAAAGAAGAAGGAGGAGGAAAAAAACACTCAAATGAAACCAGAACTCTGGAGAGAATCCCAAGGGTGTGGCTGGCCACCCCGTTTGCTGAGAGATTAGGCATGTGATGTGCGGATCTGGGAAATCAGCTCAGTGGAAATGCCACCAGCCTGAACTAAAGGGGAAAAGGCTGGGGACGAAATGTAGGAAGGCTGTCATTCGGGCAAGAACCAGGCAGACAGATCTCTCCGGCCGCAGACGTGTCATCCTTCAGGAAAGGGGGGGCATGTGGACACAGACACATACAGTGAGAATGCCAGAGGCCACCTGGAGTTCTCTTGCCACTAGCCAAGATGCCTGGGAACAGACCCCTTCCCACGTGCCTTCCCCAAGGGCATGCTTTTGGACTTCAACAAACAAAACCAGAGGGAAGAGAACCCTTAGCTACAGCCTCTAACTAGAGGATTCTAGGGAGCCCTTGGATCAGCTGCCTAATGGAGGGCCAAACGCTGCTGTTTACTCTGGTTTCCTTGATCGGGGCCATTGTGAGTCACAGGTCCACCTGCTGTAAAAATGATGGCCCCAAGCTGGCCATCACCAAATTCCAAGGTTCACACACGGACTTGTTTTAGACATAGCCCACGTAGGCAGAAAACTGTAGCCATTCACAGCCTGCCTGCTCTGAGGACTCCAGGAAACAGTGTCCCACGTCTGCGAGCCACAGATAAGATAAACTCGCAGCTATTAAAAAACCCCAAGTGGCTGCTGCCCTTAGGAGCTCTCTGACACGGAGACCCACCATTGAAGCTTCTGGGCTGCTGCCTCCAGGCAGTGACCTCTGCCCCAGCATGGACCAAAAACAGCCCGTGGGTGTTCCTTCTTCCACCTCCCCGGTCATATCACTGTCCTTGCTCAGCTCCGAAATCCTTGGAACTCACAACAGACACCACCCCAGAGTTGTAAACAGCCACAGTCCCCAGAACCACATGACTGGTTCAGCCTTATTCAAAGCAGCCCCGACTGTCCCCATCCTGGACACAGTCCTTTGAGAATCACACAGTGCCTCTCCTCCTTGGAAACGACGGACGGACTGTTTTGTACCTGCGATAATAAAGGAAGCACCAGACATGCTTTAAAACGTTCGATCAAGAGGTGCCTGGGCAGAGACGCCTGGGTGCCTCAGTTGGTTAAGCGGCTGCCTTCGGCTCAGGTCATGATCCCAGCATGCTGGGATTGAGTCCCATATCCGGCTCCGTGCTCTGCACAGAGCCTGCTTCTCCCTCTGCCACTCTGTCTGCCTGTGCGCTCTTGCTTGGTCTCTCTCTCTCTCTCTCACAAATAAATAAATAAAATCTTAAAAAAAAAAAAAAGAGGTGCCTTGGGGGATCGGTCATCAAGTGTCTGCCTTTGGCTCAGGTCATGATCCCAGGGTCCCGGGATCGAGCCCCGCGTCAGGCTCCCTGCTCAGTGGAGAGTCTGATTCTCCCTCTCTCTCTGCCCCTCCGCCCCCCACTCGTGTTCTCTATTGCTGGCTCTGCTCTCTCTCCCAAATAAATAATCTTTAAAAAATCTAAATAAAATAAAATATAATAAAATGACCCTGCAAGTGAAACGTATGGGACCTCCTGTCCCAAAGTCCTCAAGCAAAGATCTGGGGTCTGGTGAGAAGATGATCCCCAGCCTTGTTACTTCCACCCACAGTGGTCCGGTGTATATAAGAAGCCCATGCTGGACCTGGCAGTGACTTAATGACCCGCCAGGTGGGCATTCATTACTGTGACAGTCAGAGATTCAAGAGGATGACCCCTTGATGATGTTGAGGACATTGGGGGCATAGGGAAGCAACTCCCCATGGAAGAAAAGGTGAAATGAGTGATCATTTGTTGGGGAGCAAAAATTTCTGTGCCATCAAGGGTCCTTCCAGCCAGACCAAGCATCGAATTGACAAAGGATAGTATTAAGTGGAGAAATTCCAGTTGAATAGCGTATGCAAGGGGAATCCACACGGACTTGGAAATTCTAAAGGTGGACGGGCAAAATGAGGTTATGTGTGTCCTTCTGAACCAAGAAGGGGGTGGGGGTGTCTGGGACTTCAGTGGGGAAGGAAAGCACTTCACAGGGTGATTAAAAGGGGAGATGCTGGGGCACCTGGGTGGCTCATGGGGTTAAGCCTTTGCCTTCGGCTCAGGTCATGATCTCAGGGTCCTGGGATTGAGCCCTGCATCGGGTTCTCTGCTCAGTGGAGAGCCTGCTTCCCCCCTCCTCTCTGCTTGCCTCTCTGCCTACTTGTGATCTCTCACTCTCTTTGTCAAATAAATAAATAAAATATTTAAAAAAAAAAAAAAAGAGGAGATGTTTAGGAATTAGATGGTTTGCCCTGGGGGCACCTGGGTGGCTCAGTCATTGGCATCTGCCTTTGGCTCAGGACATGATCCCAGGGTCCTGGAATTGAGTCCTGCATCAGGCTCCCTGCAGGGGAGGCCTGCTTCCTCTCTCCCACTCCCCCTGTTTGTGTTCCCTCTTTCTCTGTGTCTCTCTCTGTCAAATAAATAACTAAAATCTAAGAAAAAAGAAAAGAAAATAAATAAAAAGTGCATATTCATAATGGGTTTTTATTCCACTCTGACCCAATCGATTATTTAGTTGTTCATTGCTCTATTTTTAAAAACCACAAATTTAAATTGAGACGTTATTTATAAACTGAATCCCATTTAAGTACGAATCATCATATGTATAGCTAGAGGAATGTAATGTGTCTGATTAAGGGCTCTGTGCCAGACACCGCTAGACGTCTTATATAATACACAGTATGTGAATCCTATTACCAGTCTAGAATTGGCAAATCCTTTGCCTAATCATATTTTTTTATTTATTTGAGAGAGAGAGAGCGTGTGCACAGCGTGCACAAGCAGGGGGGGCGGGAGAAGGAGAAGCAGGCTCCCCTATGAGCAGGGAGCCTGACTTGGGGCTCGAGCCCAGGACCCTGGGATCATGACCTGAGTCAAAGGCAGACACTTAATGGACTGAGTCACCCAGGTGTCCCCAGAATCTGCAAATTTTTGCATTTTGAATTAAATCTGGTTCCCAGGGTTTTGGATACATTTTGAAGAGCGGTGTAACTAGAATCTACCTCCCTCTCAACATATCCAGTTCTTCTAACCTAGTGGGAATAACCTTATTTTCCATCTGGACTGTCCTCACCGGGTCTCCTGCCTCACTCCAGTGCTCACCCCACAGCTTGTTCCCCGCATGGCCGGCAGAGGGCGCCAGCTCCCGCTGGCGTTCAGAACCCTCCTTGGGGCCCACCTTGAACCACAGTCCCAGCACCGTCCAACCCCAATAACCATCTCTTCTCTTCTCTCCACCACTCTCCCCCTCGCTCCCATACTCGGTTCCAGCCCACCCTTCCTGCCGCCTCCGCCACCCCGGCAACCCCCCTCCCCCCCCCCCCCAACTCACAACCACCCTCCACCCCCCCACCTCCCCCCCCAGAACCTCTTCAAAGGCTGTTCCTTTGCCTGCAACGCTTTTCCACCCAAAGCTCGCTCCCTCACCTCCTTCAGGCAGCTGCACAAACGTCACTGGTCCAGACCAAGCCATTTACAATTGCACCCCTTCCTCTGCCATCCCAAACCTCCTCACCATGTTCGTGTTGTTTTTACTCCTTTAGCACTCATGACGTAAAAATAGTGTAGAGAAAATTGATTATTATGTGCCTCTTCCCGCTAGAATGATGGATTCATGAGGGAAGGATTTTTTTTTTTTCTCCTTTGTTCACATTTGTGCCCTCAACGCCTGGACAGCTCTATGCAAGAGAATTTTCTGGAGGGTGGCAATGTTCTGTATCTGCTGTATCCAGCAGGATAGCCACTGGCCATGGGGGTGGGGGGCACTAAGCACCTGAAATGCAGTGAGTGCGAGTGATTTTTAAATTTTATTTCATTTTAATTTAAATAGTCCCATGTGGCTATTGGCTACCTTATTGGACAACCATGACAAGATTTTATATATATATATATATAAATATATATATATATTAAAGATTGATTGATTGATTTGAGAGAGAGAGAGAGAGAGAGAGAGCATGAGCAGGAGGGTCAGAGGGACAGGAAGAGAGAATCTCAAGCTGACTCTGAGCTGAGCCCAGAGCCTGACTCGGGGCTCAATCCCATGACCCTGAGATCACCACCTAAGCCAAAACCAAGAATGGGATGCTCACCAACTGAGCCACCCCAGCGACCCCAGCCATGAGGACATTTAATAAATATTTGTCGAATGAATGAAGTCCTTATCACATGTAAGCACTATTTTCTTCTTCTTCTTCTTTTTTTAAGATTTTATTTATTTGAGAGAGACATAGGGAGAGAAAGCAGGAGCAGGGGAGGGAGAAGGGGAGAGAGAGGGTCAGAAGCAGGGCTCGATTCCATGAACCTGGGATCAGGACCTGAGCCCAAGGTAGCTGCTTAACTGACTGAGCCACCCAGGTGTCCCTAAGCACTATTTTCAACTTTAGCTTGAAGTCCAGTTTGAATCCTTACATCAGTTCTAGGCAGGGGTGGGCGGGGTTGGGGGGTTGGGGGGGTTACTGCCAGGAGCTCCGTTTTGCAGATGGGCACACATGCACGGAGAGGTTTCATAACCGACCCCAAGTCACGCAGCTTAGAAGTGGTAGAAAAAAAATTCAATCCCAGCACTCAACAAATCGCACTCTCCCTACCCTGGGGTGTGATCTCTGAGCTCCTTTCTCGCAGCTGTTCCCCCCAAGTGGGTGGCAGTCAGGTTAAAGGGTTAAAGATGGGCGTGAGGATGCGGGGATGGACCCCCCTACCTTGGTTCCTGCCTGTGGGGAAGCAGGGCGGCGACTCTCGGGGCTGGAAGCCCGGGAGACCCTCGGTGATCCAAGACCTGAGAGGGCAGAATGGGACTTGGTGAGGCCAGGGAATGCCCAGCAAATCCCATCCAGCCCCGGACGCTCACCTGAGCGAGGGCTGGAGAGGTCTCTGTCGCCCCCAGGGGGCCGCCCCCAGTCAGCCTCAGGGGACCGGGTTGAGCTCAGTTCCAAGGACTCAGGCAGGCTCTGGAGGGGTCAGGAGAGGAGAATAATACTTATCATCATCATTCTTACTAGTTGTCAGGCACTCAGCAACGGAGACATAGCATGAATAGGAATCTGACTGAAAACCGGTCTGGTTTCAAATTTCAGCTCTGGCATTTTGAGCTGTGTGACCCTGGGCCAGTTACTTTACCTCTCTGGGCCAGCCATATTTCATCTTTGCTATGCAGATTGAGTCCATACACGTAAGGCACTTAGAACAGCACCTGACATGTGGCGAGGCATTGTAAGCACAGGTTTTGCAATGATTGTGCAGCTGGAGCTGTGATAAGTCCTTTACCTGCATTATTTCATTAACTCTCCTCCATAAACCTACAAAGTGGCCATTATTATCCCTACTTAGTAGACGGGGAAGCCAAGGCTCCAAGAACAAAGTCGACGAGTGCTATCACAAAGATGGCAGAGCTGGGATCTGAACCTGGGTCTCTCGGATGCATGATCTGAGGGTCAAGGCACACAGCCACTCTAAGCCAGCTCAGACAACAGCGGTTCTTGCCTGCTGAGGGCCTACTCCATGTCTGACACTTTCTAATCATCATCTCTCCTTTTTACAGAACCCTACAAGTTGGGGGTTATAATCAGCAGTGTCTCGCAAATGCTGAGTAAATGTCTCTCCTGGAGAGAACAGCCCCGATTGTAGCAATCGCCAATCTCTGTGGTGCGAATACCGCCACCATGGTCAATTTCAAGCAACCAACAGGACATCACTGAACACGGTGTTGAGAGGAGATGCACCCAAGTGGCTCTTAGGAGGTGTTGGGAGCTGGCTGGAGCACACCACTGGACTATGATCACAATCTAACAAGCAAAGAAACAAAGGCTTCTGGAGCTTACGATGCTTGCCTGTGGTTGGTTAGCTGAGAGAAAGAAAGGGAGAGAGAAGAAGGTGGCGTGGGTGAGGAGTCGGGCCAGGGCAGATGAGACAGGAAGCTGGGGGTGGGGAGAGAGGCTTTTGAGTCTCACCTCCCTCTCTGATGACTCCTCTGCTTGGAGTGCGGGGGATGGGGAGTCAGGTTCTGTGTTGGGGGGTGGCTTCTGGGGGCCCCCCAGACCTGCCAGCGTGTCTTCCACCATCCATAGCTGTTGTTGAGCTGATGCTCTGTCCTGGGGGGAGAAGGAAAGGAATCTGTTACTCAAAGGTGGGAGAATGCCAGGAGGGTTGGAATTGGGTCTGAAATCAGTGAGGCTTTATTTATTTATTTATTTATTTAAGATGTTATTTCTTTTTTTTTTTTTAGATTTTATTTATTTATTTTGACAGAGAGAGAGAGATCACAAGTAGGCAGAGAGGCAGGCAGAGAGAGAGGCGGAAGCAGGCTCCCTGCTGAGCAGAGAGCCCGATGTGGGGCTCGATCCCAGGACCCTGGGATCATGACCTGAGCTGAAGGCAGAGGCTTAATCCACTGAGCCACCCAGGCGCCCCAAGATGTTATTTCTTTATTAGAGAGAGTAAGAGAGCAAGTGCACAAGGGGTGGTGGGTGGTAGGCAGGGGAAGAAGGAGAACCAGGTTCCCCGCAGAGCAGGGAGCCCAACACAGGGCTCCATCCCAGGACCCAGAGATCATGGGCAGATGCTTAACGGACTAAGTCACCCAGGTGTCCCTGCGAGGCTCTATTTACGGAGTCATAAATGGATTATGTATGCATGGGGAGAGATCAAGACCTCTCAGGACATGAGATCAAGAGTCAGACACTTAATCAGCTAAGCCACCCAGGCACCCCTAGAAATCAACATTTAATGGGCACCTGGGTGGCACCGTTGGTTAAGCGTCTGACTCTTGGTTTTAGTTCAGATCCTGATCTCAGCGTCATGAGATTGAGCCCCAAATCTGGCTCTGGGCTCAGCCCAGAGTCTGCTTCAGATTCCCTTTCCTTCTCCCTCTGCCCCTCCCCCGTCTAAAATAAACAAATAAATCTTGAAAAAAATAAGTCAACATTTTAAACTAAAGATAGATGATTTAGAAACTCAATTATTCATCTTAGATTGAAGACGTGGGGGAGAGGGGCGCCTGGAGCATGTGACTCTTGATCTCTGGGTTGTGGGTTCCAGCCCCACCATGGGTTTTGAGATGACTTAAAAATAAAAATCTTGGGGTGCCTGGGTGGCTCAGTGGGTTAAAGCCTCTGCCTTCAGCTCAGGTCATGATCCCAGAGTCCTGGGATCAAGCCCCACATCGGGATCTCTGCTCGATGGAGAGACTGCTTCCTCCGCTCTCTCTCTGCCTACCTCTCGGCCTACTTGTGAGTTCTGTCTGTCAAATAAATAAATAAAATCTTTAAATAAATAAATAAATAAATAAATAAAATCTTAAAAAAAAAAAAAAGTGGGCTTGAGGCTAAGCAAGGGGACTTAAACTTCAGAAGTGGAGCTTGAACCAAGGGATTCGATTTAGAACTAGAAATTCCAGAGGATAAATATAACAACAAAAGTCAGGACGCAGGATGGGGGCAGGGCTGAGGGGTGGAGCTGCGAACTGAAGGACCGGGCTCCAAAATTAGAGGAGAGAATTTAGAACCAGAGGGGAAAGTGGTTCCATACCTGAGGCAGGTGTTAAAATAAAGGGCAGGCTTTGAAGCACAGTAAGGGGTTTAGAATGAAAGGAAAGGACGGGGGGGAGGAGCTTCAAAAGAAGTGGGAGGAGCTTTAATGCCCTGAAGGGTTTCCAGGGCAAGATGGCGGAGAGGGTGGAGTTTGCGGGGGACATACCTGGGGGGAACCAAGGTGCAGCAGGTACTCCAGGGTCTCCCTCAAGGTGCCCAGCTCCTGTTCCAAGCTGCTGTATGCGTCCCAAACGCGTTCCCGCTCCTCGGGTCCCAAAAAAGGGGAGACACAGGGTTAGTACGCCCACCCATCAGATCCTTCCCCACTCCATTTTTTTCCCAGTTGACGAGGAGGAAGAGAAGCCTGGTCCCTGGGGCGTCTATGGACTACAACTCCCAAGAGCGTCTTCGCTCAGACTATTAGACTCCCAGAGTCTCTATGGAACGTGCCATTCCAATGATCCGCTAGTATTGACAAGTAACAGATTTCCCTAAATTCTCTGCTTACTTCTGGACGATACTAGGGTGGTAGACTCTACAGATCCAGTAAGTTCTTGTAAGAGTCAAGATCATAAGCCCCAAGTGCCCCTGGGAAGCCTCACCATCATCGCGATCATCATCATGGCCGCTAACAGAGATGAGGTACTTAACCACGTGCCAGCCACTATTCTCAACTCTCGTTTAATTCACGCGGGGTAAGTATTATTAATGTCTCCATTTTACAGGTAATAATTATAGCTAACATTTCTTACCCTATTAAGTATTCATATAGTTATATGATTTATAATTATATGTAAAAATATATTTATATATATTAAATATATATTTATAAGATAAATACATAAAATGTATGTGTTAAATATGCATTTATTATGTTGTGTATAAATATATGTATTTATGAAATTCTTGCAATGACTCCATGAAGTAAATACTATATCACTTCAAGTTTACATAAGAGGCATCTAAGGCCCAGAGAGGTTAAGTAACTTCTCTAAGGTGACACAGCTACCATGAGTAGGAAGTAGGAGCTGAGATTCAAAGCGAGGAAGCGCACGTCAAATTCACCCTCTCAGACCATCAAATTCACCTTCTCAAACCGCTAAATTAGGTCTGCTGTTTCTTGGCTGCTTGCCTCTCACCCTCTAAGACTGTCAAGATGACTGATTTATAACTTAGGGTGGGGAGGCGGAGGAGGGGAGGGGAGGGGAGGAGGAGAAGGGAAGAAGAAGGGGAGGGGGAGGGGAGGATAGGGAAGAGAGGAAGGGAGGGGGAGAAGAGGGAGGGCGCGTGGGCAGTTGGGTCAGTGAAGCGCTCTAATCTTGAAATCAGCTCAGGTCACAATCTCAGGGTTGTGAGATGGAGCCCGGGGTCCAGTTCCATGATCGATGTGGAGCCTGCTTAAGATTCTCTCTCTCCCTCTCCCTCTGCCCCTCACCCCCCTAAAAAGAAAGTTGGAGGGGATTTCTCCAGAAAACCTTGCAGTGGAATTCTCAAGAACAACCTTCCCATGAGCCTCTGCGGGAGTGCACACCCCTTCCCAGAGGCTCACCTGAGTCAGGTGACAGAGAGTAGCCCTCACACTGACCAGCCGGTCCTGCAGGAGGCGCTGGCGCCCCCACGCCCTCCCTGGAGCCGCAGCCTCTCTGGCTGTTTGGCCCAGTTGCTGCCTGGTCAACTCCAAGGCTGCTTCCAGCTGCTCCTGCACCGAGAGGGAAGGTGGTTAGACTTCTGAATCCACATTTGGCCCCAGCAAGAGAGAAAAGGTGTCCTCCCAAATCCCTGGGCATGCTGGAGAGCAGGAGGGGAAAGGCAGGTGGAGAAGCCAAGTGTCCCTCCCCATCTCAGAGGGTCACACCTTCTCCTCCTGCCTCTGGTCTATCTCCTCCCGCAGCATCCTCAGGAGCCGGTCCTGCCCACACAATTTGGTCAACAGAGTCTGGAGAAAGGAGAACAGGAGCAGCTTATGGACCAGATCTGGCTCTTCCCCGTCCTCCCCGCCACACCCCACCCCATCTAAAGCATTATCCCCCCAGCTCTGAGTACTTGCAAGGGTTTACACCACAGAGAACTTACATCTGTCTCCAAGCTTTGGTGAAAAGTTGAGTCCAGCGGGGGACCCGGCTGAGGAAAAGGAGAAAAGCCAGGGGTCACATTGACAGACAGTCTTTATTGTAGCTCAGTATTCAGTCAAGCCCTGTTTCTCAAGCCCTGCTTCTATTGGCAGATCCCCCCACCCTTCTTCTTATTAGCTTTTTTTTTTTTTTTCTTTCTGGGCTCAACCTGGGGCTTCAACTCACGACCCTAAGATAGAGACCTAAGCTGAGATCAAGAGTCGGACGTTTAACTGACTGAGCCCCCCAGGCATCCCCTTATTAGCTTTGTTCCAAGCTTCAGCAAACCTCGGTAGACCACCTGCCAAATTTCTGGCCTTAGGAAGATCCAATGACTCTGTTACCAAAAAGCTTCAGCAATGTTATAATTGGTGGAGAACATTTAGACATTTCTTTTACAACTGAAAATAAAATAAGGATGCTCGCTACTACTGTTACAGTTTAACACTGTTTTAGAGATCTTGACCTATGCTATAAGAAAAGAAAAAGGAAACAAATAGAAGTATTAGGATGGGAATGATATGCTCATCGACCCAGAGAAACCAATGAAATCAAAGAGTGATTAGAGTAAGAGAATTCGGGGTGCCTGGCTGGCTCAGTCAGTGAAGCATGTGCCTCTTGTTTTGGGGGTCTTGAGTTCGAGCCCCATGCTGGGTGTAGAGATTACTTAAAAAAAAAATTTTTTTTTAAATAAGAGAGTTCGGCAAGAGTGCCAGGTGAAAGATGAGTTTCCAAACATCAATAGTCTATCTCTACACCATCCATAGCTAGAAGATATAATTTGAAAAAAAAGAAGATACCATTCAAATAGCTATAAAAACTATCAGGAATTTAGGAGTTACCTTAACTAAGAGTATACAAGAGCTCTATGGAAAACAAAATTTAAAACTGAAATAAATACCTAGAAGATGATATCAGTGAATGGAGAGATATTCTATATGTATGCTACCCAGTTTGTGGCAGTCCGAGGAAACTAATGGAAGCATCGGTCAAGGGACCTTAAAATATCCAGTCTTCTCTAGGCACACTAGTCCAGGAGATGACATTCTCCATAGCCAAGAAAGCAAGGAAGGGGGCTCTGGCAGATTCGAGGCACCAAGGACACCTACCAATAAAACCATGGAAGCCCGTGTCCCAGGAGCTCTCGGGGGTAGTTGGAGATATGTGGAGGAGCCAGAGGGGGCCTGGAAGGAATAACGAAATAGAGATGTTTCGAAATTCGCATGTTCTAGTAACAGATATTACAGTGGGTGCATCCAGAATTGGTGTGATTTAGGAGAGTCTCTGAGGTTCAGAACGGGCCCCTGCAACTTCCTCAACTACCTGTTCTCCAGTTTTGTGCCACTGCGGGGACACATGGGATGATAATAAATGGAGAAACCTGGCAAAACTGCCCCAAGGGTCCATAAAAGTTGCAATCTACTTTCAGTCTCACATTTGTGGTTAACTGTGGATATTCTGGGCCTACAATTCCATCTTGGAAAGATAAACTGGAGACACAAGACAGGTGCAATCCCCACTACCTCTCCAGGCATTGTCCAGGACAGTATTCTGGACTACAATCCCCATAATACATAAGGTGTAATGGCCAGAGGCTGGCTTGAAAAGACTGCCCTGAGAACCGATGGGAGATGAAGTCCCCTTTCCCTCATATCTGAAGCCAGTTGTGATTATGTTGAACCACAATTCCCATGATGCCAAGGGGGCCATGGCCGGCAGAACAGCCTGGAAAGACAGACCATGCCCATCTGCTCACCTGTGTTCTGGCCTCCTGACTCCAGTGCTGGGGACTCCTGGGGGGCCTTCCTCCCCCAGACTCAGAGGAGGGTCCTCGCCGGGGAGTAGGGGGCCTGGAGAGTGTCTGGCGCTGAGGGCCCCAATCCAGGGGAGGCCGGACATCGATGCGACTCAGAGGGGTATGGGGTCTGGCAAGAGGTGCTATGTCACCAGAGGATGGAGGGGGTCTGCGCACAGGAGCAGAACGGGGCCGGGGAAGGCTCAGAGGGGAGGGAGGGCGAGAGAGGGGTGTGAATAGGCTGTTGGGCAGAGAGAATCGGGAAATTGGGTGAACTAGAGCCTCCTCAGCCCACTACCCACCCAGTCAGCTTCATGTACATGTCCCCTTTCAGTGTCTCACTGTCCCTCTAGAGTAGAATCCCTCTCTATTAGCCTGATCCTGAATAATTTCCTCCTTTGAGGCATCTCCTCCTTAGACTACCCCCTATGGGTTCTGACCCACAAGAACTCCAGCAACTGGCATCCACTCAAGGAAGAGCGCACTAAGCCACGCCCCGAATCAGCCACAGTCCCCGCCCTTCTCTTAGACCACGCCCCCAACATAGCTCTTCCTCTACGCTGTGGTCTGTGGAACCCTCTTGTCCCAGACTCCCTCAACTCACTCTGGGCTCCTGGTCCTCCGGATCCGAGGTCCAGATTGGAGGTCAGCTGTGGGGCTGGGAGTGAGCAGCCCAGGTCGTCCACGAAGTCTGGAGAGCCGAGACACCTCTGGTGACTCTAAGCCGTGTCTCTCTTCCCCTCTGCTCACCTCTGGGGGACCACCAGGGCCGCCAGGACCCTCTCCAGGCTGGGGACGTGGGGGTGACCTGGGTCGACCACTAACGAGTGTGCACAGAAAAAGACATCGCTCCTTTGTACCTCGTAACAGCCCATATTCCCATCTCACAGATGAGCACACGGGAACCCACACAGAATAAAGGGTTAATGGTGCACTATAAATCATTGTTCCCTCTTTGCAGATGGGAAAACTGAGGCCCCAAGTGTGGAAATGACTAGTGCAGGGCTACAAGGTCCTCTGGGGTCACTGAGCCCAAAGTCCCAGACTATGAGTCTCTAGACTGAAACTTCGGAAAGGAGGATGGGGTTTGGAAAAAGCCTTTCTTTTTATATTTGATCGTTACTTAAGTAGCAGCCTTGGGGGTGGAGACTTTTTTAAAAAAATATTTTATTTATTTATTTGACAGACAGAGATCACAAGTAGGCAGAGAGGCAGGCAGAGAGAGAGGAAGAAGCAGGCTCCCTGCAGAGCAGGGAGCCCGATGTGGGGCTCGAGCCCAAGACCCCCGGGACCATGCATGACCTGAGCCGAAGGCAGAGGGTTTAACCCACTGAGCCACCCAGGCGCCCGACTTTTTTTTTTTTTTGTTTAAGATTTTATTTATTTATTTGACAGAGGGCGAGAGATCATAAGTAGGCAGAGAAGCAGAGGGGGAGGGACGGGAAGGGTCTCCTCAGCAGGGAGCCCAGTGCGGAGCCTGGGATCAGAACCCGAGGCAACGGAAGGCAGAGGCTTAAGCCACTGAGCTACCCGGACGCGAGGCGGGGTGGGGGGGTGGTGGTGGGAGTGGTGGGACTGGGGAGACACGGACGACACCGACGGGGACTTCTGAGGGAGCCAATCAGAGAGTATGGAATATTGATGAAGGGAAGGGCTGGACAAAAATGGTGGGCGGAGCTTAAAAAAGAAAGACTTTTTGCAGAAGTTCCCTGTAGTTGGGACTGGAAGGGCGGGAGCTCCGTAGCTAGAAGATGGGTGATTGGACGTTGAAGAGGCAGGGCCTAAAGGGGAGGGGCTGGGGCTAATTAGATGGACTCGGATTAGAAGTGCAGATCAGGGGCGTGGCCAGGAACTATACTCACAAGTCGTCCCCCTCCGCTCTCGAGGCCCGGCCCAGCGCCCTCAGCCAGCCCCGCAGGTCCTCCAGAGTGTCCGCGGCCAGAACATAGGTCCTCATGCCTGCGTGCTCGGCCTGCGGGGGGAGAGAGAACTGGGGACCTGGACGCCCGGGCCCTCTAAAAAGGAGGATGCCATGGACCCTGGTCAAGGCTTTTTTTTTATCTCCAATAATGGATGTTCCCATGGCTGTCCCCATGGGATAGTGCCTTAGTGCCCACGGGGGATGGACGGACTCACGGTGAAGGTGAATCGCCGCCCTCGGGGAGCTCCTGGCCCATCCGGCCTGATGCTGTAGCTAGGGAGCAGGACGCTGCCCAGGACGCTCTCCTCGCGGCTGTCTGCAAAAGAAGGGCTGGGATCAGGCAACACACAAGAGGCTAAGGGAAAAAGAGGAGGGGGCCGTCCACCCTGTGCCAGCCGGGGCACTGACCCTTGTAATAGAAGAGGCAGTGGCCGGAGAGGACGAACCAGCGGCGTTTCCAGAGCCGGAGCCCGGAGCTGTCCTGGGGAAACAGCGGGAGGCGAGGTCTGAGTAGAAGGGCAGTGGGGAGAGGAAACGTGGAAGTGAAGACAGTGACACCCGCGAACAGATAAACCCAGAAAGAGGAGAGAAACAGACACGTGTTTGCTGCAACAGAGTGAGCCGGAGAGCTGGAAACCAGAGTGTACAGGGGTTGGTTGAACTCACAAGGATTCTGGACACAGCCAGACCTGAGTTGGGCTCCTGGCTCTGCTCCCTCAAACTATGCCATTAGACTAGTCATTTCCTGGCTAGGACACTTGTGTTTTCTCATCTGTCAATTGGGGATTGAGAAGTTACCAGAAGGCTGGAACACGCAACTGTACAGCCCGTGCAGAACTTTAAATACTCAGACTTTTGATTGGATTATTCTGGAGTCTGAGACACAGAGGCCCGGAAGGTGGCACTGGGACCCATAATCTGAATCCTGCGTCTCCTATCTCCTCTGCCAAAACTACTCCATCTCCAACCTTGTGCCCCTCTTCTCGCCAGTCTATTCCCTCTGTAGTCAGTAGGATCTTTTTCAATTATGTCAGATGGTGGGAGTCCCCTGCTCAAAACAGAGCCTCCCATCACACTCAGAATAAATCTCGAATTCCTTCCCCTCTTTTACTGGCTTGCATGGAGTCTCAAATCTGGGTCTGCACAAAAATCACCAGGGGAGGGACGCCTGGGTGGCTCAGTTGGTTAAGCAGCTGCCTTCGGCTCAGGTCATGATCCCAGCGTCCTGGGATCGAGTCCCGCATCAGGCTCCTTGCTCGGCAGGGAGCCTGCTTCTCCCTCTGCCTCTGCCTGTCATTCTGTCTGCCTGTGCTTGCTCTCTCTCCCTCTCTCTCTCTCTGACAAATAAATAAAATCTTTACAAAAAAAAAAAAAAATCACCAGGGGAGCTTGCTAAAATACAGTTTCCCGGGTCCTACCCTCAGAGTTCCTGAGTCCATAGATCTAGGGTGGGTGGGAGCTGACAGTCGGCATTTCCAGCAAGTTCCTAGCAGGGACATGTTGCGAACCACTGCCCTGCCATCCCTCCTGTCTCGACCTTTGGCTGGCTCCAAACACCAAGCTTTAGGCTAAGCCTTTCGCTCTCAGATTCCCTCCAACCCCCAGCTCTTAGCATGGTGGCCTCCTTCTTGTCTGTTCCTTCTCAGCTCAAATGTCATCTCGGAGACGCCTTCCCCAACCAAGAGTCAAAGGGCACCCTCATCCCTCTGCCACTTTTGTGCGTATCCTCCTGTGTTATTTCTTCAGAGCAATTCCAACAATTCCTAGAATCGAAATAGGCTACTGTCGTACCTGTCCCTGCCCCACCCCCTCTTGAATGTACGATAGATACTAGTTTGTCTTATCTGGTCTTGGCACATTACGGATACTCAGGAAGTGCTCGCGGAATGAACGGGTGTATGGAACAAGGACAGAAAAAGGAGATAAGCCACATCAGAAAAAATGAAAGGCATTTGGAGACTGGGAAGGAGAGAAACAGTGGACAGCCAGGGGCCCGGCCTCTAGCGTCACTCGGTGTCCCTTCCCTTCTCATGCTCACTCCACCTGCTTATGAAGCCAGCCTCGGATGTGCACTGGGAGGTTGGGATCTCTTCGGAGAGCATTGCCTCTTTTCCCAAAGGCATGCACCTTGCTTACTGCCCGGGGAGGCTTCTGAGGAGAGAAGGAGGACAGAAATGAATGGGGCCTCAGATGGGCTTGGGGAGGCGGTGCTGGGGGGGGGCAGGCAACCCAAGGCCCTCGCTCGGCTGCCCTTAGACACCAAGCCAAGGAGGGAAGTGAGTTTTGAGATCAGAACTGGATATTAATGGTACAGAGCTGTTAGTCTGAATGGGTGGCTGGAGGTGTTTGGGGGAAAGGAAGAAGCTACTGGTTAAAAGGGGAGGGACAGGATTCAAGGGTCTACTGCCAAGGAGAGGATGCTGTTGGCCACCAGAGCCGGAAGTGTAGTACAGTCTTTGGGATCAGAATTGGAAATACTGGGGCGCCTGGGTGGCTCAGTGGGTTAAGCCTCTGCCTTCGGCTCAGGTCATGATCTCAGGGTCCTGGAATCGAGCCCCGTATCAGGCTCTCTGCTTGGCGGGGAGCCTGCTTCCTCCTCTCTCTCTGCCTGCCTTTCTGCCTACTTGTGATCTCTGTCTGTCAAATAAATAAATACATAAAATCTTAACAAAAAAAAAAAAAAAAGAATTGGAACTACTTGGAGGTGTCCCCATAACCAGGAAAGACTTCCATGCCACGTTCTGGGCGCTGGATGGGTCAGCTGAGGAGGATGCCTCCGTGCCAGGGAGTGACATCCCTAGCAACCATGTCCAAGGCAGAGAGATGACTCCCAACCCCTCCCCCCACAACAGATGGAGCCCCTGTCCCGTCCATGCAGGCATCTCAGGCGTCCACAGCCAGAGTCCCACAGGACTTCCTAGGGGATGGCACTGACCAAGTTGGGATCGAATCTCTAGATTCTGAACTGGAGAAACTGGAAATGAGTAGAGGGTGGCAGAGGACAAGAAAATGAGTGTTGTCACTGAACTTTGGGTGACAATTTGTGACGCCAGTATCTCGGGCCTCTCGGAGACTTATCAGAGAAATGTCTTTCCTTATCAGATTTCACAACTGGGTAGGATGGTTAGAGGTAAGACAGGGAGTGAGTTCTCAGTCCCAGTCAAGTGTAGCCTCAGGCTGAGTTCCGGGAGGGAGCCTCGTGGCTGGGGAGTAGCCCTATCTTAGCAACTGGAATGCCCTGGGACTGTTACTCTGGTTGAATTGGGAAAATCCAAGGGGTGGGGACAGCTGGGAGTGCCTCTGAATTCCTAGCTGGGACTGATGGGCAGTTTGGGACCTTACTGGGTGTGGCTGAGCCCATCGCTAAGGATCCTTACCCTTAGCAACGGGAAGCCCTTGGATTGGCACGGAACCCCAACCCCCAGAACCCCAACCCCTGGGGCTGGGAATAGGAGGATGGGGCAGCCCAGTGCTCCGCCCTCCTCCCCAGCCCCTCCAAGAAGCTCGAACCTTGGTGCTCAGGCTGCCCAGCGAGGAGATGGTGGAAGCGCTGCTGGCCAGGCTGAGGCTGCTCCGAGGTCTGCCCTCCTCCATCAAGGGCTTGGGGAGAGAAAGAAAGGGGCTGTGTGCCTGTCTCTGCAGCTGACCCGGCTGGGGACAGAGATGGGGTCAGGGGCTCGCAGGTCGGAGGAGGCTGAGGAGAAAGAGCCCGTTGTCTCGGGACTGGGGGGCTGGGGAAGGCCCATGCCGGGGACTGCATACCGAGCGCAATGCCAAGAGAGGTGGGCGGCGCTGGCAGCTGCGGGAAGGGGCAGCTGTCTGCAGCCCAAGACAGAGAATAGGGGCTCCTTTATTTTTGCCCCCTGCACTCTAGCCAGGAATTTGACCCTCTCTGAGCTCAGGGAGCCCCCATTCTCTGCCTCTTCCCAGCGGCCCCCAGCTACCTGTCTCCCGCCCGCCCACACGCACCCCGCCAGCCATCCCTGCCAAACTCGGGGTTGCCAGGAATGTACACCCAGGCAGTCCCTCCCAGGCCAGCCAGGGAACTTACCAGCTCTGGGGTCCCAAGGACGGGGCAAGAAGGCCGTGTGAGTGCTGGGGCCCCCAGCTACGGTGTCCCTCCTTTTCTGGCTGGGGGGGGGGGGCGGGGGCTACCTCTCAGACCTGTCTCCTTTCTCACCTGCTCACTCACACGTTTTTTGCTTTTTGTCTCTCCTCTCTTCTGATCACTCTTCCTTCTTTCAGAGCGTCTCTGTCTTGGGCCTCACCTTGCCTCTCCGTCTCTAATCGGTCTCCTCCACTCTCTCTCTCACTCATTCTCTCCCCCGCCCCCTCCACCCTGGACTTTCTCTTCCAGTCTTTCTGTTTCTGTTCCAGATCTTTTCCCCCCCGGACTTTCAGAGTCTCTCTTCCTCAGGTTTCCATCTCGTTCTCTCCCCCTCTCTCTCCCTCACCCTCAAGCTCTTCCTCTTTCTCTCTCTCTCTCTCTCTGTCCCACCGACGCTGTTTCCTCCACTCCCTCAGATTCCCCTTCTGTCTTCCTCCCCTCTCCGTTTCTCTTTCCTCCCTGCTGGTCCGCCAGCCAGCCGCCCACGCTGCGGTCTCCCCTTCCAATCCCGGCTGACCCCGCCCCTCCTGGCCTCCCCCCCAACTTCCAAGCCTGACCCCTGGTTCAGCTGCCCCCACCACCGATGGGAGGGGCAGGGGCCCCTGACTCCTGGGTCCTTGCTGGACTGGGATTCCTGTTTGAAGAGGAGGAGCTGGGCCCCGACAACTCTAGGGTCCGGGTCACTGGCACCCTGAGGGAGGTAGCCGGGATCCTGGAACTAAAGGGGGCTCAGACTTCTGGGTCCCTGACAAGCTGTGAGCCTGGAGTCAGGACTCCTGAGTGGTTAGTGGAGCCGGGCATCTGGAAATGTGTTTTTGAGCCAATGGATCCAGGTTTTCCAAGGAAGAGGGAGTGACCCTGAATTCCTGGATTATAGCGAGGGCAGAGTTAGGAGGCCATGGTCAAACATCTACCTGGGATCCAGGTGAGAATTGTGTTCTGGACTGAGGATGCCCCCGTCCAGAGGGAGACATGGTCCCTGGGCATATCTCGAGGAGCAAAATCATGGTAAAGGGGACGGGCCAGGGAATTGGGAGTGTGTCCCTGGGCCTGGTAAGTTTCCGTGGATTCTGCCCAGCCAAGATTTCAATTTGTGTATGAGCTTGCATTTTTTTTTCTTTTTCAAAAGATATTTATGTATGTATTTATTTATTTATTTATTTGACAGAGAGAGAGAGCGCACAAGCAGGGGAACAACAGAGGGAGACGGAGACGCAGGCTCTCCACTGAGCAGGAAGCCTGACACAGGGCTCGATTCCAGGACCCCGGGATCATGACGTGGGCCAAAGCAGACGCTCAGCCAACTGAGCCTCCAGGAGCCCCTGTGTTTGAGCTTTTGTATGTGTCTCAAGTGGGTGAAACTTGTGCTTGAGACCAGGAAGGGGAGTCTGAGTTTTTGGTTTCCAATGCACTCACCTAATATTTGTTGAGCACCTACTATGTGCTGGGCACTGAGGGAAAAAAATTAGTGAGCAAAGCCAAGTGCCTGCCTTCAGGGTGCTTACATTCTTGTTCTCCTTTGCAATCCATCTAGACTCTGCTGTGGTCACTTCTTTGGGCACATGGCATTCCCAAGCCTCAGTTTCTCATCTGTGAAAATGGAATGTGAAAAAACAATGCTCTGCCCCACCAGGAAGGGAGCGGACCGGTAGTGACGGTGGGAGACTCTAGCCTGTGGCCTGCTTTTTAAATCCGGGCGGGAAGCCGGTTTCCCACCCGGAAAGGAGCTGGGAGAGCGCCCAGGCGGCTGAGGCAGTGCCCGCGTTTGATTGACAAGCTCGCTTATTTCGGGGCGTGGCCGCGATCGGAAACGCCGCGGTGTCGTCACACAAAACCCCCGAATCTCCGCGAGAATTCCGACCTCACTTTCCCTTCCCCACCCCCACGCCCAGACGCCTGGGTTTCGAAACCCCGCCTCCCCTCGTGACGTCATCACACGCGGCCGCGTTGGCCTATAAAAGCCGTGCGGGCCGCGTCAGTTCCCAACCTCGCTGTGGATCACACCCGCCTACGACAGGAGCCCAGTATCCCTACGTTGCGACAGTGCTCGCCCCCGCAGGTGATAACCTGAATCCCCGAGCCCGGCACCGGAGGGCGAGATGAACGCGCTGGCCTCCCGAGTCGTCCAGATCTGCGATCGCTGGTGGCAACCCGAGCCGGCCCTCCTGCCCCCAGGGTGAGGTGCAGCCCCGAGTCGGTGAGTGAGGGGTCCCAACGCCTGGTACCGCCCCCCGCACCGGAGGTTGGGGGCTGGGGATCAGACTCCTGGTCAGTGAAGAGGGAGTTTGCATTTCTGGGTACCGAGACAGGAGGGTTTGAGGCCGGGACCCCGGGGTCCTGAGGAACGAGGGCCTGGGAGCCCAGACTCCTATGTCTGGGATGAGGTGGGACAAGGACGCACTCCAGGGAGAAGGAAAGAGAAGAAATTGGGATCCTGGAGGCCTGAGCCTGGCGAGAGGAGGGTTCTGGAAGCCAGACTCATGAGTCCCTGGTGGAATGGATGGAACCCTGCGAAGGTCTTAACTTTTGAGTCTCAGAGGGAGAAGAGTGATGAGGGCCTGATCTGTTGATTCTCAGGAGGATGAGAGAGCCAGGGACTAGGACTTTGTCCCCAAGGGGACCAAGTAGAGGATCTGTATTCTCAGTTCTGGGGACTGGGACTTCTGGGTCTGAGAGAAGAGGCTGGGGGGCTGGCTCAGATTCCTAGATATGGAGAGGAGAGAGGTGGGAACCACTGGGCCTCTGCTGGAGAGGGGAGTGGCAGGGATCAGCAAGGAATGTGGGACAGGAATCTCTTGTTGCTATTTGTGTTACTATTTCCGTTGCTATGACTCACAGTCATCCCTTGATGCTCTCCCCTACATGGCTTCTAAACTCTATTTCCTTTTGTTTATTTCCAGCCCAGACAGATGGCCCCAGGCCAAGTGCCCCATCATTGTGCCTCCTGGAGGGAAACCTACCCCTTTTTCCTTCTGTCCCCACTGATGGGCCTTCTCAGCAGGGCCTGGAGCCACCTGAGGGGCCCAGGACCTCCAGAACCCTGGCTGTTGGAACCAATAACCGAAGCCGATCAGGGAGAAGCTGGCCTGGGGGGAGAAGCCAAGACATTTCTGGCCACCTGCCATGCCCCCTGGGTCAGGAACTTTCAAGGGGAGACTGGAGACAGTGGAGCAGCTGAGGAGGATGGAGAAGCATTTTGGGAGGCCTGCCATGATTTAAAAGCCAACCGTTCTCCTCTTAAAGCCTGGGAACTTTCAGAAGATGACGACGAAAAGTGTGGTGGGGACCAAGCAGCCAGTGTCCCTAAAGAGCAAGGAGGTGAATTTAGAAATGGCCAGCCTGCTCCCCTGTCCCCCAGCCTTCTAAGAACCCTGCAAGAACCTCGTGGAGAGGAGCCATCTGTGGAAGGAGGAGCTGCTGAAGATGAAATGGTCACGTTCTTCTCTTTTCCTCCATCACTCTGGGAGTGTGGTCCAGGGGAGGAGGAGGAAGAAGAAGCTGTACACAAAGAAGCTGCCAGAACACCTACTGCCCCTTTATCCCCGGGATCCAAGCCCAAAGCTCAGGTGTACTGTGCTGGAGAGGAAGGGGTTCAAGCCACAGAAGAAGAAAGAACAGAGAACAGAGAAGTCAGAAAGAGCTGTGTTTCCCCCTCATCTTCAGGCTTTCACCCCTGGGCCTGGGAGTGGTGTTCAGGAGAGGACACAGAGGAAGAAGATGAGGACAGTGATACAGGACCAGCTGAGGAGGAGGGAGAAGCTGAGGATCCTTGTTCCGTCCCATCCACAAGTGCCTTCATGAGGGCCTGGGTGTATCGACCAGGAGAGGACACAGAGGAGGAAGATGAAGAAAGTGATACGGGACCAGCTGAGGAGGAGGGAGAAGCTGAGGGTCCCTGTTCTATCCCATCCACAAGTGCCCTCGTGAGGGCCTGGGTGTATCGACCAGGAGAGGACACAGAGGAGGAAGATGAAGACAGTGATACGGGACCAGCTGAGGAGGAGGGAGAAGCTGAGGCCACAGATACGTTCTCAAGGGCCTGGGTATATAGACCAGGAGAGGACACAGAGCAGGAAGAGGATTCAGAAGCCCCTCACTCTGAGCCAAGTCCCTCCCTTCAAGCTCAGGGCACCCTCCACAGGGGCTGGACATACCGGCCTAGAGAGGACGACACGGAGGCAGGGGCAGTTGCTGAGGAGCGGGGAGAAGCTGAGCCCTGCCCCTTCCGAGTGGCCATCTATTTACCTGGAGAGAAGCTGCCACCTCCGTGGGCTCATCCTCAGCTGCCCCGCCGGCTGCGGAGGCGACTGAAGCCCACAGAAACCCCCACCTGGCATCCAGACCCTGAGACGCCCCTACAGTCGCGAAAGGTGGGTACTGAGGGCTCAGTTTCTCGAGTCTTAGAGAGGAGCTGGAACTCCTGGGCCTGGGGCGGGGGGTAGGAGGGCTGGATGCCTCAACTTCTGGGTCCCCCGCGTGTTACAGACGGTTGCGTGTGAACTCCATTGGGAGGGCTGCATTCACTGTAATGCAATCCTTTGCAAGAGGCTGGGGCCCCATGGGAAGGGGGAGCAGCTGTGGCTCAGGTCAGCTCCTGGAAACAGCCTCCGCCTGCAATGAGTCACGTGGAGAATCCCGTGGGCCCCTGACGAGCGAGTGACTCAGACAACAAGCATTTTTGCGTCACTCATTTTTGTGTGGGTTCTCTCTCCCCCTCCCCCACCCCCGCCACGGACACATGTCTGTGCTGCTCCGTCTCCAGGTTCGCTTCTCTGAGAAGGTCTCTGTCCATCTCCTGGCTGTCTGGGCAGGACCGGCCCAGGCCGCCCGCCGGGGACCCTGGGAGCAGCTCGCCCGGGATCGCAGTCGCTTCGCCCGGCGGATCGCCCAGGCCCAGGAGCAGCTGGGCCCCTGTCTCACCCCTGCCGCCCGGGCCAGGGCCTGGGCCCGCTGCGGGAATCCTACTTCCCTTCTGGCCGCCACACCTGCTGCCCCCCAGATCTTACCACTGTCCTCCATCCAGGCCACACCCTTGAGCCAAGTTGGGGCATCTCCCCCCACTCCTGTGTCCCCATCTCCTTGCCTGGACCTCAGTGGGAGGTGTGGCTAAGATCACGGAGTTCTGTGTTTCTACTAGTTATTTATTTTTGTGTGTCGTTTTATAATAAGAAATAAAACTTGCTGATTTGTAACAAGCAATGTCACCGTCACTGTGTGTACTAACCTGACAATAATCTACTACCCCGGGGATAAAGGCTTGTACGTCAATAGAGGACAAACTCTTATTTCCCAACATCCCTCAAATTTGCCTCTTCTTGTCCTAAGCTTCTTTTGAACTAAGGGCTGGTGGGTCTTTCTTTTCTTTTCTTTTACTTATTTATTTATTTGGGAGAGAGAGAAGGGAGGTCAGAGAGAGAAGAGAGAGGGAGGTCAGAGGGAAAAGCAGACTCCCTCTGGAGCTGGGAGCCTGATGTGGGACTCGATCCCAGGATTTCGGGATCATGACCTGAGCTGAAGGCAGTCGCTTAACTAACTGAGCCACCCAGGTGCCCCAGGTCTTTTTTTTCTTTGGTATCGACCTAAATTTTATTAAACTTTCGACAGGTATCTCCCCAAGGGGACTGGGGGCTGGAATCCCTGATCTGTAGAAAAGGGTTCAATTCCAGTTTTCTGTGCCTCCCTTGAAAATACTCGTCCTCCCGCCGGCCTTTAAGTGCTGGCTGCTTGATGATTTCAGCAGTCCAATTTCACCTTCTTAAAGCCCTGTTCCATACTCTTCTTACCTATACAACTTGACTAACAATAACACATGCCTTATAGGACTGTAAGAACCCCAAAGGAGTTCATATTTATTTATTTGCATTTTTAATAGGTTTTATTTTTAAGTAACCCCCACACCCAGCGTGAGGCTTGAACTCACAACCCTGAGATCAAGATTCCCAACGTCCACCAACTGAGCCATCCAGGCATCCCAAGTTCATATTTAAGACAATGTTCGCCAAATAATAAATGTTAGGTAAGTGTAGCTAATATTGTAATCATTCTCTCTCACCCATGCATGTCTTCAATGACCCATCCAAGTTCACGCCTCCAACTCAGAAGTCTTTCCTGACCCCCATGAGATCTGTCCAGCAGCTGAAAGGCTCAAATACCTTGCCCCTCTCCAGTGGTTCCCCAGGCTCTGGCCACACTAGTCTCCTTTCATTTTCCCAAACCGATCGAGCCCCCTTTTCACCTTATGACCTTTGTATGAGCTGTGCCTACTCCCTGATGTTCCCGCCCCTGACCCCTCTGGCCCTAGTTCCTCGTGATTTTTCAGACGTGGTGTGAATATCACTTTTTTATAGATACCTTGATGTGACCCAGCTGACTTGTGCCTCCACACGCTTTTCTCCTTTGTAGCAAAGGAGCATTTTGATTTTTTGTTGTTGTTTAAGGCCCATCTCCCATGACTGTGAGTCCAGTGAAAGTAGGTGCCGCTGAGAAGCCCACTCCCCAGAGCACAGGACTGGGCACGCAGGCAGAGTAGGATGTGTTGGTTATGAGTAAGGTGGTGCAAAAGGAAGCACGCGGGGGCCCTTCCTCCAAATGAGCAGGCACAGAAGCTGGTGAGGGCATGACATTTCATTGCATTACTCACATGCCAGCTTGCCATCGAAACTGGACAAGCAGATGGCAAAGGCTTGGAGCGGGCAAAGTGGGAAGCGGAAATCCATGGTGAACGTGTCTGGGGCCACGCGGCCGAACTGGAGCACCAGGTAGTCGGCTGAGGAGGGAGTCAGGAACTAAGGAAACCTAGCCCCACTCCTCAACTTCCTTCTGCGGGTCTCTGAACTTCGAGACTACCACTTCTAAGAGGCTGTGCGACGCTCCCACTAAGCCCAGAAACCCTGAGGGCCGTTTAAACTGCAGTTCCCAAGAGGCTTTGCAATAACGCGGACTCCGCCCTGCCTAGAAAAACGCTCAAAGGCTGATGGGGGGAGTAGTTCTCGTCTGCTCATCCCTCGCCCTTCCCGCCCTGGCCCCCAGGTAAACCGGTTCCTAGGAGCTCACGGTCATCCGGATGCACGATCTGGAAGTTCTTGACCGAGGCCCGAGTGACTCGACCGTGAAAATTGAGTACGTAGGCGCCGCTCTCGTCGCTCCACGACGGGGCTTTGTTTTGCAGCAGGACCAGCCCCTGACGGGCCCCCCGTTGGAGGCGACTCAGTAGCGACTCCTGTTCCTAGAAGATAAAGCAGGGGGCGTGGTTAAGCTACCACCACTGAACTTTTTTTCTTGGGATGCAGATTTTGCGTCCCTAATCACTCTTCCTTGAGAAACACGGAAATCTGACAAACTCCCTCTGGCTTCACATATGACCACCTGCAAGCCATGAGCCCCCTTCTCCCTTAGGACCTAGGGCAGATCTCCCAGGCCTTCCTCCCCGACTGACCCAGAAATTCCCAACCTTAACCAACTCACGTTTTGAGGTTGGACACTGATTCTCTGGTTCTGGGCATCGATTTCTGGAATGATCACAGTCATTTTCCGGGGCCCTCGGAATCCCAAGACATTGGTCTCCTGGAGGTATTATGCTCCGGTTGGCCTGGCTCTTTCTCCCTCCCCACCATCCTGCTTCATTCTCTCTTGTCTCCCAGACACTCACATAACACACAGCCCCCAGCTCCTCTCTGATCCGAGCGGTCTCCGGGATGAAATTCTTCCTTTCAGGATTCACCCCATTGTCAAAGATGGTGAACTTGGTGCCCAATACATTAGATCTGCCCCAGGAGGGGAGTGGTCAGAGTAAAAATAATTACTGTTTTGCTGTACATTAAGTGCTTTCCCACATCGTGTCATCAACTCTTCCCATTAACCCTCTAGTTGGCACTTGGGTTCCGTGTTCCACGCATCTACAGTCCCAGCCCCTTCTGTTTCTTTGATGAGCCATGATTTTTAGTCTCCTGCCTTTTAGGCACCTTCTTCCCCCTAAAATACAAGAATACTGCACACCACAGCCCTGCCCTATGGGAATTAGGAGTCCCACCCTCTTGCCACTCAATAAGTCAAACGTCTTAAATGTCAACCTCTGCTCCAAATCCCTTAGTTTTCTTATTTCCACCCCTGCTGGGGCTACTGCCTAAGATATACACAGCCCAACAATCCGTAAGAGGAAAGGTCCTAGAACAGGTGGAACTTGTACTTGGTGGCCCGATTATCCTCTCTCCCCCAACCCTCCCGGCACCCCCTGAGCCCTCCTGCCACCTGTTTCTCACACATATCAGGGCTCTGCCCACCTGACTTTGCCCACAAAGTTGTCCCCATCCCGAGACAGGTCTGTGGGGTCCAGGGAAATGAGGTAATTCGAGGTTTTGCTCCTTTTTCTCTTGCGCCCAGCCAGGAGGAAGTGCTGTGGGTAGGAAGAATGGCCCATCAGAATCAGTTTCTACTACTGGCTAGGTTAGGGGTCCAAGATTAAAAAAAAAAAAAAAAAAAAAAAGTGTCCCCAAGGCAGAGGAGAGGGTAATAGAGCAAAAAGTATCTCGAGCCTTGCTCTGGAAGATGTGGTTCTCACTGAAGGAAGTCATCAGCTGGGTCCTGAAGGGGAGCTTCACACCTTAATACCCCCCTCATTCCTTCCGCCACTGGGTCCTGGGTCAGGGCTGAGCCCTGGCAGCGTTGAGCCTAACTGTGGCAGGCTGGGTGGCTTTGGAGACTAGGAAGGAGCCTCCAGCGGGACTTTGGTAGGCATTTCATCAGGCAAAAGCAGGTCTAGCACTACTGAGTAGGGGGAAACCCTCCCTTTGGAAGACTGCCTTGAGGAGAGGCCGCCAAGCCGCTGGGGAGGGGGAAACTGGCCAGTTGAGAGGGGCAAACTGGCCAGTTGAGAGGGGCGTGGTTTGGCTCTAGACTAGGCAATCCGCGAGGGGAGGGGCTTGGTTCCTAGGGGGTGGGACTTATCCCAGGATTGGGGGGGGGGCCTGATAGATTAGAAGGTTCAGCGAGAGGCCGAATTTGGACAAACGCAATGGGGCCAACACTTCGAGAGGGTGTGTAAGGGGTAAGGTTTTAGACCCTCAGACGGCGTGGCCTGACTTTGAGAAAGGTGGGCCCATCTCAAGAGTGGACGAGGCTTAGTTACGGGCTTGGTTAGGGCCTATGCTACCGCGAAAGCAGCCTAGTTCGGAGAACGGCGGGGTTTGGCGTTGGCGTTCAAGAGTCCTTGCTCAGTGTCATCATTGAGCAAGACCCGGATTCGTGGAAGTCTTGACCTCCCTCAGAAAGGGGCGGGACTTGCCCCTGGGAGGTGGGGCTTGCTGGAGAGGAGGCCAGACCGCACCTTCCGGCCGTCGGCCGCCTCCAGGTAGAGATAGTAGAAAGGGAACATGCCCTTGTCTACGCCGCGCTTGTCGCGGCTGATGCGACACTGCATCGTGCGGCCGCGCAGCGCCGGCCGCAGCACATAAGCTTCCATGTCCTCTCCCAGCCGAGGGCCCGGCGCGCGGAGAGGCGCGCGGGGCGAGCTGCCCACATCACTGCTTCCCGCGCCGACCTCGCCTTCCGGGGTCTCGGACACCTCTTCGGCTGCCGGTGGGGAAGTCCTCACTGTAGACTCCGACTCCTCTTTCTTCCCTTCCAGGTCTTCGCCCTAGTCCACGCGCCATATTAAAATTGAGGCATGGTTCAGACCCGCCTCCACCGCAGCCTTACCAACTGCTGATTGGCCATGCCGGCGCAGGGTTACGCCCTCTCCCAACCATGTTTTCTGCCTATTGGTCAAACGTCTTAGCTACGTGCTGGTTGGCCAGCACCTTCAAGGGGCCCACCCAGCCAAGCCTTCATCATCTGTTCATTGGTCACCACTAATAGCGACCCTCTGGAGCCACGCCCGCCCCATCTACAGATTGGAGAATCTCTTTGAAAGCACTGCCTGTTCCGCTAAAACCAGTGTTGTTTCGGTCTAGATAACATCTAACATGGCTCAGATCTCTGCAGCTGAAACTGTCTTACTCACTCAGAGTGAGTGCCAACTGGCCCTTCCCCATCACTGATTCACCCCCTCCAAAGCTCGCTGCCTTTCGGTGGGCTGGATTTTGATGTATGCTTACATCAATTTAAATCCTCCAGATTGACTTCATAAACGGTGCACACCCAGAGACACTGGTAGCCCAATCATAACAGGTTCCACCCACCAGCAAAAAGGGCCTCTGATTGGGCTGCAGAGTTTTAGACCCACCCTCTCTCGAGCTTGAGGCTAGCCCTCCGCTTACATCCTGATTGGCTGTGCCACCTCCTACCTTGTTGGAGGCCAAGTCTCCGCGTCCCAGGTCAGCATCCATGCCCGGGTTTGGTTGTGGACTGGTAGCCTCGTATTCATCTCCAACATCCTGGGGTTCACTCTCTTCCTCCGCACTGGCCCCTAAGGGGTGGAAAAAGCCAGAAAAAAAGACTGGTTTGGGGCACCTGGGTCCCAGGAGCTTAGGACCAGGTCACCAGTGCTGCTGGAAAAGGCCAGGTATCCTGGGTTCCTGGCCTCTCCATATTACTCATGCCAGATCCTCCAGCTCCCCCATGTGCACGGTGTCTACACTGGCTGAGAAATCTCTCCCCTGGGTCTAAGGACACGGGTGGGGTTAGAGTCCTCCCTTTACCTTGTCCCAAAGAGCGCATCCGAGAGATTGGCAACTAAAATGGGAGGGAGGAACGGGGTTTGGGGTCATAATCAAGGGCCCTGTTATTGAATCGCTGGTCATGTCATGAAAATAGAAGGAATTGTCATACAAGAAATAACAGTAACGAAGTACTGATGATGCTACAACATAGAGGGACAAAAACATGCTAATCAAAAGCAGCCAATCATGAAAGATCATATACTATGTTATTCTATTTCAAAGAAATGTCCAAACTGAGCGGGGGATGGGGTAACTGGGTGATGGGCATTAAGGAGGACACATGATGTGATGAGTACTGGGTGTTATACACAACTGATGAATTATTGAACTCTACATTTGAAACTAATAATGTACCATATATTGGCCAATTGAGCTTAAATTTTGAAAAAAAAAATAAATGAAGTGTCCAGAATAGGCAAATCTAAAGCAACAGTAAGTTAGTGGTTGCCTAGGGCTGGGAGAAATGAGGTGTGGAGGGGAGGGTGTTGGCGGGGGGATGGCGTCACTGCTAAAAGGTACAGGGTTTCCTTTGGGATAATGATAATGTTCTAAAGTTGATTGTGGTGATGGTTGCTCGTCTCTGTAAATATACTAGAAATCATGGAATTGTAAGCTTGAAATGAGTAAATTGTATGGTATGTGAAATATATTTCAATATAACTGTTACAAGAGGGGCGCCTGGATGGCTCAGTCCTTAAGCGGCTGCCTTCGGCTCAGGTCATTGTCTCGGGGTCCTGGGATCAAGCCCAGCATTGGGCTCCCTGCTCAGCGGGAAGCCTGCTTTTCCCTCTCCCTCTCCCCCTGCTTGTGTTCCCTCCCTCACTGTGTGCTTCTCTCTCTGTGTATCAAATAAATAAAATCTTTAAAAAACAAAACTGTTACAAGAAAGGGGGCCATATGGACCAGGGAACTGGATTCCACCCAGTGTCCCCGAAATTACCAGGTCGTTGGCGGGCTGGCCAACCCCTGCGTCGAGTCCCTGGAGGCTCTTTATAAGGAGGAGGAGAAGCGGGGACATCCTCCACGGAAACTTCCTCCAACTCTGGATCGGAACTGTCTGGCAGCCAGGAGAAGGAAAGGGACTAGAGATCAGGATTTCAGGAGGTTGGGGAGGTGGGAAAGGGGCCTGGAGATTGAGATTCCTGAGTGTTGGAGAAGGAGTAGTTTCAGGATCTGGATTCCTTGGTGTGAGGGATGACAGGGCCCCTGGGGGCCTGGACTCCTGGCTTCTTTGGAGAGCAAGGATTGAGATTCCAGACTCCTGGATTCTGGTGGGAGTGTAGTTCTAGGGTATAGGCGGCCCAAGGACTCGAGATTACCTCCTTCTGTCGGCGATGCCAGTGGGCCACGCTCACCGCTGCCATCTCCACCGCAGCTCACGATGCCCAGGGCACTGTGGGCACCAGAGCGCAGGTGTGCCTCTGGCACGTTTTCCTGGAGGAAAGGGTTCCCAAGGCCTGGGAGAAGGTGCAGCAAGGCCCATTAACACTATGTACAAATTCCAGTCCTCTGCGAAGATCCGCTCTCTCAGTGACTTCCAGACTGCCCTGAGTGACTCCCTGCGTGACCGCCCAAACCCCGGAGACCCATGCAGAACGCAAAGTCCATCCTAAGGCTCAAGCAAGCACATCCCTGCGGCTAACTCCATGCCTGCACAGTCGCACACGCAGCTCTCGGTCTCTCCAGGACCGGTCTTGAAATTATCCAGGCCTCGGCCCCCACCCGCCCCCGGGGCTTTGTTAATTCCATCCTCCACTCTCCGGAATTGAGTCCCTGCCTTTCTGCCTTTTCCAGGGCTGCCCCCTCCCCTGCCCCCGCCCGGATACAGCCCCGGCTCTCGCGCCCCACCCTCTAGTTGCACCGGGCTCCGCCCCCGCGCTCTCCTTGCTCCGCCCCTGAGCTCTCCCGGGTCCTGCTCCCCGGTGCCCAAGGGCCGGGTACGGGTCTCATCAGGACTCCGCTTGGACCCTCCCCTCTCGGCCCTTGGGGGCCCGGTCCCAAACCCCCGCAGACCCCTCCCTCTGGGCCTAGGCTCCTGCCCGACACTAGAACTTTTCCTCACCGCTGTCACCCGCGAGGCGCTCCTCCCGTCGCCTTGGTCGCCGGGGCCACAGGGAAGCGTCGGGATTGGCCTGAACCATGAGGGGCTCTTGGCGCTTCCGCCGCTGCTTCTTCTCAAAGAGCCGTCTCTGCCGAGTGTAAAACGGGGGTGTGGGGCCAGGAACCGAACGGGAAGACGGGGCGAAGGAGGGCCTGGGGTAAGGGGAGGCATGCCTGGAGGGGGAGTCCTGGAGTCCAGGCTCTCAGTCCCTCATCTCCTATTTCCTTGGATCCAGGAGTCCTGGCGCCCGGTCAGTTCCCCCAGGACCTAGAAGTCCTGCCCTCCAGAACCCTTGTTCCTTAGAAACGTTGCATTCTCATCACCAAGGTCTGCTTCTTTAGGATCTCCAATTCCTATTTTCTCATTTCCCAGTTGCAGACTTGAGGCTGGGAGAGAGCCAAGGAGGGCCAGGAGTCCCAGAACAAGTCCTGGGGTGGTGCTCCTGGAAGCTTTGGAAGACCGAAGGGTGGGGGTGCAGGATGGGGGGATTGGGGGGTGTCAGGACTCCTTGGCATAGTACCTGCTGTTCCAGCTTCTGCAGCCTCATGGCGATGAGCTCATCCCCCAGCACCCTGAGAGAGGTGCAGGCTCATGGTGACAACAAGCAGGGCACCCCAGCTGCCCCAAAGCCCCTCCTTCCCTTTCTTCTTGCCCAACATCGGGTTCTGAGCACTCATGAGGTCACAGAAGGAAAAGAACCTCAGTCTGTCCCACCAGTTCTGAAACTCTTTTTCTCCAGCACTGGCCTGTCTAGAATGCAGGATGCAGGAGTCCAGACCCCCAGCCCCTTACTGCGAGGCTGACGGTGCTGAACTTGCAAACATGGTCATAAAGCCATGAAGTGAGTGTGGGCATAGTCAAACCTTAAGCCCCTCCTGCACCCCCATTTCCATCCTTGCCCATCCTGTTGCCCCACTCACTCTTTCTTCCATGTGTCATTCTCCTGAGACATTCTGGAGAAGCAAGAATGAACAATCAGGACACAGACCCAAGATCCCAGTGGACTCCACCCTCCAACACCTGATCTTAAGCTTTAAAATTTTCTCCTGGACCCAAGCAGCCTGAATTCTAACACCTCCTCCGTCAGGGATCCAGCAGCGTGTTTCCAGCTTTCATGACTTTGATGGGCCCAGGAATCCAGTTCTCTCTCCCTCCAAATAGCTAACTCTCCTTTATGCAGGCATGGGAACTTAGGACTCTTGGCCCCAAACACTCGACCCCTGTTGACCCCAGGTGGCCAGCACCCACCTGCCTGGGATGGGGCAGCTCATCTCCTCGTGCCTGCGGAGGCTTTTCACATTCACACTTTGGTACCTTGCCTCTCTGGCCAATTTCTAAACATACCTAACTCTCTCTTTAGCTGGGGACCTAATCTCTGGGTCTCTGGGAATTAAGCAGGCAAAGAAAGAGGGCTCAGAGGGAGGGGGGGATTCCCACTGGGACCTGCCCTTATCCCCTCCCTCCTGGCCCCCCACACTCCACTTCCAACAAAGCAATGACCCTTGACCTCCACTGCAGCTAGGCAACCCTGCTCCGGGGTTCTGAAATGGAAAGGCGTGGAAGGTGTTCCTTAAAGGGACCCAAGAGAGCCGGCATCTCTGGGTCGCTCTACTACACACGTGTGTGTGTGTGTGCGTGCATACAACACGCGCATGTGTATATATGCACACACGTATGTGTACATGCATGTGTACATACGTATGTGTATACGCATATATACATGTATACGTATATGTGTATATGGGGTATACATATATGTGTCTTATATTAGATGTACATGGCTTATTATTATATATATATATCATATATTATATGTTAGAAATTTATAAGATGACTTGTGCCAATTGCTACCAATCTGTAACTCGCAGCCACTTCTTGTGGAAAAATAGATGCGGAAAACTACAACTGCCAGGAGGCGGAGGCAGGCGCCTCCTGGCCAGCGGAAGTGGTCTCATTTTCCCCTGCCTGCAGGGAATTGTAGTTCTCTTCGAAAGCCTCCGCTCTCCTTTCGCCTGAAAGGCAGGAAACGCGGCGTCAAGAGTTAGAGCTTCCGAGAAGGGAGGCGCGGCTTTCGAGAACAGACGAGCGACTTCGGCAAGGGGCGGGCCGCTAGACCGGGACCTGGGGACCTGGAGCCAACGCGGACCAATCAGACCTCTGAGGGCGGGTCCTCTGCGGGAAGGTGGGCGGGGCCTCGGGGGGAAATCACCGGAACGCGCAGGAGGTCTCAGCCCGGGAAAACGCCCTCTGCGCGGAAGGAAAGGTGAGGGGTTGGGGGGGTCCTAGATTGGGTCCTGGGGAGGAGCGGGAGAAGGGGACCAGAGGGCTGGAAAACTGGGTCCCGGGGGGTGGACTGGGCACCAGTTTATTTCTAGATCCTGGCGAAGAGGGAGGCTGGGGGCCTCGACCTTTGGTTCTGGGGAAAAGAGGTTGAGATCTCGGATTCCTGAGTCTGAGCGAAGAGACTGGGTGCTGGGAGCCAGGACTTCTGGGTCTCAGGAAGGAAGAGCTGGAGGTGCGGAATCCTGTGTCCCCGGAAACGAGACGCTTTGAGTCTTGACTCTTAGAAAGGGGATGGGGGCTGGAGGCTGGAGGCCCAGACTCCTGGGTCCATGGGAGTTCTGTCTGACTTGGGACAGACATTATCCACCTTTCTGCCCCCCACAGGCCACGCCACCATGACTTCCTCTGGGCCCCGCGCAGCCCTCCTTCTCCTGTTGCCTCCGCTGCTGCTGCTGCGCGCTGTCCTGGCCTTGCCCCTGGAGCGGGGGACGCCCAAGCAGGAGAGCCCTGCGACCGAGAGCCCCGTGAGTGGCCCTGCCCTGCTCTCCAGCCAGGTGTTTGCAAGTGGTACTACAATCCCGCGGATCCGCGTCGCCCCTGGGTGGATACTTCCCCGCCACGGCCGCGGCACGGAGTTTGCCTGCCATTCTTTGCCGACCCGGGGCTTTGACGTGGTGAAAAACTCGGGGCGAGTGTACGTGTGTATGTGCATATTTCTAAGTCCCTGCTCGGAGGCGTGGGGGAGATGAGGTCAGATTTTAAGTGACCAATCTGCATTACCCCCCTATGTTTTAAGCGCCACCCCCAAGAAGGAATCCGAAAAAAAGAACTACATTTCCCAGTAACACCTAGGGCAGGTGGAGTTCCTTAACTGGGGTGTGCTGGCTTCCTGGAGCTCGTGGGAGATGTTAAAGCTATGAAGGTGTTTATCAGATGCTGTGAAATCTTTGGTCTTAGGGAATTTGAGACTCCCAAGGCCCAGGCGCTGATTTCTGGCCTGACTTCTCCTACAGCCTTCATCAGTAAGGGGCATGTGACTGTCTCTGGAAGGGATGGTTCCATGCTCCTGTGTGGCGGTCCCACCTTGTGAGCTAGGCCTGTGCTTGGTGACATCTTTGCAGGCGCAGAAGTCACTTCTAAGTCCCTTTCCCTTCATTCATCCCACACATTTCTTGAGAGTGGACACCGGGGTGATGGTCAGAGAGGAAGGATTGTGAGCTGAAATGCAAAATGCAAGGAAGGGCATTCCAGGCAGGGGGAACAGCCTGGGCCAAAACGGTGTGGCATGGAGAGCAGAGTGACTAGAGAGACATGGAGGTGGCCAGTGGGACTGGAGCAGAATGGAGAGGGGGTAGGTCACGTGGGGCCTCAATGGGGGCTCCCAACCTTACTTCACAGGTGAGGCTGAGGCACAAGAGGGTTTAAGTAACTTGCCCAAGGACTGAGGTTTCTAGGTGTAGCAAATAAAAACACAAGACGCGCAGTTAAAATTGAATTTCAGACAAGCATGAATAATGTTGCGTGTAAGTAAACTCTTGCAGTATAAGTTATTTGTTGTTTATCAGAAATTTAAAGTGAACTAGGCATTCTAGCTGTCCTAACAAGGTCACCTAGCTAGTAATTGGCAGATTTGGGATTCCAGCCCGTTGGCTAAACAAAAATGTCCACATCTTGGGGCACCTGGCTGGCTTAGTCTGTAGGGCATATGACTCTTGATCTCGGGGTTCTGAATTCGAGTCCCACACTGTGGTGTAGAGATTACTAAAAATAGAATAGAATAGAACAAAACAGATAAATTAACTTAAAAAAAAATGATGTCAACACCTTAATTCCCAGAACCTGTGACTATCTTACCTCACAGGGCAAAAGAGTGTTTGCAGGTGTGATTGAGACAAGGCTCTTGAGATGGAAGGAAAAGTTAGCCTGTGTTATCCAGGTGGGCCCAACATAAACACGAGTGTTCTCTATAAGAGGGAAGAAGGAAGGTCAAAGTCAGAGGTGATAGGATGACGTAAGCAGAGGTCACAGTGATGCAGAGTCATGTGGCAAGGAGCACGGGCAACCTCAAGCAGCTGGAAAAGGCAAGGAAACAGATTCTCCCTTAGGGCTTCCAGAATGAACTCAGCCCTGTCCTGTTCTGGGCTTCTGACCTTCAGAACGCTAAGGGAATACATTTGGGTTGCTGTCAGCCAGTGGGAAGTCGGTATACCCACAGGGGCCAGACTGAGCCATCAGGTTATCCAGCTCCTACCGCGTGCTCGCTACTTACGAAATGATAGCAGTAATAGATCGAGCATCGTGCCAGGCCCTTGATCTCATGTACTTTTCACCATGGCACTGAGAAGCAGGGAATTTATTGCCTATTTTATTTTATTTTTATGATTTTATTTGTCACAGGAAGAGAGAGACTCAGAGAGAGAGAGCGCTAGCAGGGGGAGCTGCAGGCAGAGGGAGAAGGAGGCTTCCCGCTGAGCAAGGAGCCTGATGCAGGATTCTATCCCAGGACCCCAGGATCAGGACTCCAGCCGAAGGCAGAGGCTTAACGGGCCGAGCCACGCGGGCGTGCCACCCACCTACACACGCCAGTCTGGGTCCAGGAGCATAGGGATTTTTGTCTGTCTTGGTCACTTGCCGAGTCCCCTAGCAGAGCACCTAGTGTGCGGTAGGAGCGTGGGGATTGCCTGATGAATGATGGGTGAGGGTTTGTTTCACGGCTCGCCAGCAAATACTGGTGTGTCCACCCTGAGCACCCGCTCCGTGTGCGGCGTCGGGCTGGGTGTCTGTCTCCCCATGTGATGTCTACTTCGTCTCCACCAACGGCCTGGGAGGAGACCAGTGCCGAGGCCCAGGGGATCAGCCTAGTCTTACGGAGCAGCTGGGGATCAGAACGGGGGCCACCTGGCTCTAGAAGCTTTGTCCCATGGGGCAGGCCTGCCTCTTGCTCCTAGCACGGGGCCTTGGGGTCCTTCAGCCGGCGCCCAGGGATGTGGGCCCTGGCTCCTAGGCTCAGGGAGAATGGGGGGTGGGGTGGGGTCTGGGCCCTATGTTCATCCCTGTCCCCTCAGGACACCGGCCTGTACTACCACCGGTACCTCCAGGAAGTCATCAACGTGCTGGAGACGGACGGGCATTTCCGCGAGAAGCTGCAGGCTGCAAACGCCGAGGACATCAAGGTGCGGCAGGACGCGGGCCAGGTGGGCGGGAACGAGGGGCGCGTGCTCGGAGGACCGGCCTGTTGCTCTACCCTTCCATGCTGTGTGACCGCCCCGCGCCGTGCCTCAGTTTCCCCATCTGCAAAGCAGGCATGCTAGCCGAGTCTGCATTACAGGGTTCAGCTTAGGATCACCAGAGGTGAGATGCGTCAAGGACGGAGACGCACAGAGTGGCAGTCCTCGCACCTGCCGTGCACGTGCAGGTCCCCCGAGGGCCAGGCTAGTGTGTCCTGCTCAGGAAGAATTCAAGACAGAGGAGATGCAGTTGCGGCTTGCCTCCCCTCTAGCTCATGTTGGGCCTCCAGAGGGGCTGAGATAGTCATTTTATGAAGCGGGACATGGAGGCCCTCGTGGCAGTGTTTGTCATCCGTATAGGCTCTGTGTCCCCGCAGGGCTGGCTGATGACGGCCTCCCCCTCCACAAGGAGATGGGGCTGACTGGCCCCCTTTCCTCCTCCCCGCCCCACCGCACACAGACCCCCCCCACCCCGTTCAGGTGCGTGTGGGCATGCCCCACCTCGAGGGGCCTCCTTGAGTCGCTAAACACCTTGGTCCCAGAGAGGACCCAGGTGGCCCTGCTCCCCCAGAGCCTCCCGGCATTTCTGGGGCTCCCATGTCTCCCCATCGACCTGGTCACCAGCGAAGGACCAGCAGAGCCAGAGACCCTAGAGCTCAACCCCTCCCACTGCCCAGCCGGGATAACCTCAGGGGCAGCCCTCCCCAAACCCTGCTAGGGTTCAAGGTCATATCAGTGGGAAATGACCTTGGAAACAGAAGGGCCAGTGAGGCAGGCAGGGTGTGGAGATCGACAGTGCCCAAGTACAGTGTACAATCCCAGCCCCTCCTCATGTGCTCCAGGCTGAGCAGCCACACACTCTGGGCCCTGGTGTCTTTCTCAGAAACCGGGGGGCCTGATACAACACTTTCTGGGATGTGAGAGGTGTGGGTTGGCAAAGATCCCCGCCTCAGGGCTTGCTCTGGCATATTGTGAGGCCACGGTGATGTCAGTCGTCATCCTTGGTAGTGGCAGTAATGTCCGCTCAAGCAGGAAAAGAATGTGGGGAGACACGACACCGACCTGGGATCCAGTGGCTTCTGCTGTGCCTCAGTTTACCCATCTGTAAAATGGGGCTGTGGGCAGGATTAGAGGACAGACCCGGGGAGTCTAGCGCAGGGCTTGGCCCAGAGTAGATGCTTGACTGGTTGGGGTGAATGGGGCTGTCTCCATGGTCACCGTGTCCTGTTGCCTCTCAAGGGCCATGGGCCCTGTGGGCTGGGGAGCCCTGGTGTGAGTCTCAAGTGACCGAAAAAGCAGCCTGAGCAATGACAGATAGCAGAGGGCCCTGGGCGGGCCTCAGGAGGGCACAGTCCCCCATGACAAGTGAGAGAGGACTTCTGGAGCAGGGGTGCCCCTTGCCCAAGTTTAGTTTGAAGTCTGAGTGGGGATGTCCGTGTTGTAGAAGTTGTTGCAGGGGGTGTGTGTGTGTATAGGGGGGTGAAGGCGTGGCATTTCAGACAGCGGGAACTGTGTGTATAAACAAAGCATCTGGTACCTTCCGCTGTCTCCCCGTGGTTCATGATCACTGCCACAAAGACAGGGGCGATGGGGCTGGAGAGGTGGATGCGTGCGGGGTCCCAGGTACCGGCCACAGGGATTCTGTCCTGGGGAGCTGTGGGGGCTGTGAGCAGAAGAGGGGTGGGGTTAGCTCTGAGCAACAAACAGAATCTGAAGTGACAGGAGGGGCAGCCCAGGGAAAGCACCCCAGGGAGGGGGGCAGGGAGTTGCCCAGAGGATCTTTCCAAGGGAGAGGCGGTGTGCTTTGAGTGTCTAAGGGCAGTGAGGATCTGCTTAGGCCTAGAAAGGGGGTGGCAGGAGAGAATCCTAGGCAGAGGGACCAACCAGCATGTGCAAAGCCCAGGATGGGGGAAAGAGCCTTGAGCGTGGAGGCTGATGCCCGGTTAGTGCTGCTGGAACCAAGTGTGATTTGATGGATGGCGGGACTCGGGGCTCCCAAGGTGGGCAGGGCCTCAGATGCTAGGCTACTGGGCTGGACCTGGTCTCAGAGGCTTGGGGAGCCGGTGGGCCAAGGGTCTGTAAGCTTTCCAGGCTTCACAAAGCTGGTAGAAGGTTCCAGGGAGGGCAGAGAAAGGACGAGGCTGCCCCGTGCACCCCTTCCAGGGCCCCCAGCCTGACCAGTGTCCCCTCCCCCCGGGCAGAGTGGGAAGCTGAGCCGGGAGCTGGACTTTGTCAGCCACCATGTCCGCACCAAGCTGGACGAGCTCAAGAGGCAGGAGGTGTCTCGGCTACGGATGCTACTCAAGGCCAAGAGGGGGGGGGAGCGGGACCCCAGAAGGGGGGGGGGGGGGGGGGGGGACGGCCTCCCTCCTAGGGACTCACCCCCCCACCCCACCCCACCCCCGTCCACCACCTAAGATGTGCATAGAAGATCGACCGAGTTTTCTTTCTAGAACAATCTACCACTAACATGACTGGTTGGTGGGTTGTTTTTTGCTTCTCCGTTTCATTTTTTAAATTTTTATTTTTAAAAACCACTTTCATTTAAAATATTGATATAGGGATGCCTGTGTGGCTCATTCGGTTAAGCGTCTGCATTTGCCTGTTCTTAGACACACCAGATAAATGGAGCCCTACCGTCTGTGACCTTTTGTGTCTGGATCCTTTCACTTCTAATGTTTTCAAGGTTCATCCAAAATGTAACGTGTGTCAGCAACTTCCTTTTTAGGGCCAAGTACTATTCCAGTATACAGATAGACCCCATTGGGTTTATCGACTCATCAGTTGATGGATATCTGGGTTGTCTGGACCCTTTGGCTACTATGGACCGTGGTGGTATATATATTTTTTAATTTCTAAAAATTTTTTTTAAAGATTTATTTATTAGAGGGAGAGAGAGAACGAGCCATGGGGAGGGGTAGAGGGAGAGGGGGAGAGAAGCAGACTCCCCGCTGAGCAGGGAGCCCAATGTGGGACTCGATCTCAGGACCCGGAGATCATGACTTGAGCGGAAGGCAGAGGCTTAACCCACTGAGCCACCCAGGCGCCCCCCCATGGTGTTACACTTCCTGTGGCTCTGTGGAATAGTCTGGTATGGGGCGTGACCACATGTAAGGACACGCCCCCTTTCTTGAGATGGACCCATGGCTCGCCTTTTATCTCTGGACATCCTGTGAGGCTCCCATGTTATGGAAGGGGGCGCTGAGCCTTGGTGGGTGGTGTTGACGGTCAGTAGGAGAGCTGGGCTTTGTTTTCATTTCTTTCTTTCTTTCTTTCTTTCTTTTTTTAAGATTTTATTTATTTATTTGACAGAGATCACAAGTAGGCAGAGAGGCAGGCAGAGAGAGAGGGGAAGCAGGCTCCCCGCTGAGCAGAGAGCCCGATGCGGGGCTCGATCCCAGGACCCTGAAATCATGACCTGAGCTGAAGGCAGAGGCTTAACCCACTGAGCCACGCAGGCGCCCCTTTTTTTTTTTTTTTTTTTTAAATAATGTTTTGTTTGAAAGAGAGAAAGCATTAGCAGGGGGAGGGGCAGAGGGAAGGAGAAGGAGATCCGCTTTGAGCACAGAGCCCAATGCGGGGCTAGATCCCAGGACCCCGAGACCATGACCCGAGCCAAAGTCAGACACGCCTGTTTTCACGACTACCTGATTCCACCGGTCCATTGACGAACCGTGTCTCCGGTTGTACTGTGCGCTGGGCACCAGGCGGGTGCTGGAGCTCCACGGTGACCAGACGGCCTTCATAGGCACCCACGGCTGTCTGCTGATATAATTATTACAGCTCCAGAGTTGACCACTTCACCCATTCATTGCTGTCGCCTGGGTCCTGCTTGGATCACTGCAGTCGCCTCCTCCCTGGGTTCCCTGGTGCCTCCCCTGCTTTGGGTCCTAGTCCCTGCCCCCGCCCCCCTTCAGCAGCCAGGGGGATCCTGTAGCCGTTTCCTGTGGCCACTGCAGCAAATCACCACAAATTCAGGGGTTAAACAACACACACCAATTCCCTTACAGTTGGGAGATCAGAATCGGAAGTCAGTTTCACCCAGCAAAAATCAGTGCGTCCGCGCAGCCGCACTCCTTCCGGAGGTCCTAGGGGCAGCCTGCTGCCTTGTCTTTTCTGGCTGCTGGAGTCGCATTCCTTGGCAGGTGGCCTCTTCCCCCGTCCTCACACCTAGTATGCAGCCTTTGTGTTCAGTGAGCACGTGGCCTTCCCCCTCTGCCTCCCTCTTTTTTTTTTTTTTAAGTTTTATTTATTGGAGAGAGCGTGCATGCGCATGCTTGGGAGCATGAGCAGCGGGGAAGGGCAGAAGACAGGAATAAGACTGTGCTGAGCATGGAACCCAATGCCAGGCTCGATCTCATGACCCTGAGATCATGACCTGAGCCGAAATTTCAAGAGTCGGAGGCTTAACCCACTGAGCTACCCGGGCACCCCTGCCTCCCTCTTAGAGGGACTCTTGCGGTTTGCATTGGAGCTCCTGGGTAATACGAGATCACCTCCCCATCTCCAGATTCTTAATTTAATCACCTGCAAAGGCCCTTTTGCCACCTGAGGTCCCCTAGTCATGGGTTCCAGGGTTTAGGATGTGGGCGTCTTGGGGGCGGTGACGCAGCCCATCACAGCATCCAGTCCACATCCCGTCCCTCCTCTTCTTAGGACCCACCCCGGCTCCCCAGGGGTCAGCAGGTCCAAGTCCACGGTCCTCACGGCTGCTCTGCCTACCCAACCCCTGCCTTTACAGGTGCCCTCTCTTGTCAGCATTTTTAATAACGCTGCTGGGCAATGTGTGTCTGTCACCTCTGGACCTTGACCCTGGCACTTCCCTCTGCCTGGGGTGTTCTCAGGGCTCTTTGCACTGCTGGCCAAGTTTCTGTCTCAGCTCCTACCCTGATGGGGCTGCCCAAGGGAGGTTCTGTTGCTTGCTGTTCCTGGGGTCGCTGGGGTCACGTGTGTTGGTCCTCTCTCTCCAGCTGGGTGTTAGGGGCAAGGGGAGCCCACGCTGCTGCTGTCTGCTTCCCATGGCAGCCCCAGGGCCAGGCACCACGTCTGGCCCAGGGGTAGGGGCTCAGCCCCCATTAGTGGCATGAATAATACACCATGAAATTTTATCGGTGTCTGTGTCCTGAGAGCCTGTCCCTCCTCTGGGCTCACCCTGGGCAGAGATGACCCCATGGTAACACAAGACCCCAGGGTCCCGGCCTTCCTGCGTGTGTACAGCTCTCTCCCTCCCCAGAACTGGAGCCACTGGAGGGCCAGCCTGGGTCTGATTCACATGTCCCCCCTGCCCCTCACAGGCTGGCTTTAGCACCAGAGATCTATTGTCTCATAGCTAGGGAGGCCGGAAGTCCCAGCTCAGGTTGTGGCAGGATCAGTTTCTTCTGCTGGGAATCAGTTCTGGGTCTCTCTCTGGCTTGGAGATGGCCAGCTTCTGCCTCGTGTCTTCCCTGCAGCATCCAACTTTTTTTCCCTTTTAGAGGGAAACAAGTCCTCTTGGATTTGGGTCTACCCCGAGACCTCGTTTTAACTTGGTCACCTCTGGGAAGACCCTCTCTGCCAATAAGGTCACATTTGGAGGGTCTGGGGGTTAGGACCCCAACAAATGGGTTTGGGGCACATAATTCAGCCTGTAACAGGACTTGTGCTCTGGAGCCCGGCAATGGGTTCTGATATTCTCTCTGCCACTTCCTAGGTGATGGTGACCCAGACAAGTCCCTGACCCTCTCTGGGCCTCAGTTTTCACATCTGTAAAATGGGATCATCGTAGAACCTTTGTCTTAAGATTTTTGTGAGAAATAAATGCTCTAGAGATGCCTGGATGGCTCAGCCGGTTAACCTTCTGCCTTCGGGTCAGGTCATGATCCCAGGGTCCTGGGACTGAGCCCTGCATTGGGCCCCCTGCTCAGCAAAGGAGTTTGCTGCTCCCTCTGCCTGCCATTCCTCCTGCTTGTGCACACGCGCTCGCTCACTCTCTCTTTCTTTCTGACAAATAAATACAATTTTTAAAAAAATGCATTAAATAGGGGTGCCTCGGTGGCTCAGAGGGTTAAGCCTCTGCCTTCAGCTCAGCTTATGATCCCAGGGTCCTGGGATTGAGCCCCTTTTCGGGCTCTCCACTCAGCAGGGAGCCTGCTTCTTCCTCTCTCTCTGCCTGATGTTTGTGATCTCTCTCTGTCAAATAAGTAAATAAAATCTTTTAAAAATGCATTAAATATATTTAATGTGTTTAAAGCAGAGCCTGGCATATAGTGAGTACTCAATACATGTTAATTATTATTATGGTTATTGTTTTAAGCATCAGAGTCAGTTGTGTCACCTCCTCCAGGAAGCCCTCCCTGATTGCCCCAGCTTCATTCAGGACATCCTCTGGGCTTTCCCAGTACCTGCTGTGACCTCCTTCAGAGCAGATCTAGCCCAGGATAGGGATTTTGAAAGAAGGAACATTCTGTACACTTTTTTTTTTTAAAGTAACTTCTCCCTCATCCAGATGTACAGGTGGATCACCTGAGCCTCCTGAAGCAGTTTGAACATCTGGACCCTCAGAATCAGCACACCTTCGAGGCCCGGGACCTGGAGCTGCTGATCCAGACGGTAGTGTGTGTGTGGGGGGGGGGGGGGGCCCTCCGGGCAGTGGACTGAAGGAGGCTTCGTGGAGGGGGAGAAGGGAACGGAGCCTGGGACGTGTGCCCCATCACCCTGGTGTTCTCCGAGGTCAGTGGCTGCAAAGGCCAGGCAGTCCCCGGAAGCCTCCCCAGATTCTCTCTGGGAGAGCAAGGTATAGGCAGAATGGGCTGGGCTCCATGCAAACCATTTCAGATCATTCCTGGGCTTTGTCCTTCCCCATATGACTTGGGTGGGGGCAGGGGAGGCAGAATCATACAGAATCATGCGGCTGCCCCCCCCAGAGATGTCACACCCTTTACATCCCAATCAGCGGAACCTCTGGCTGCGTGACCTCTCGTGGCGAAAGAGATTTTGCAGAAGGGATTAAGTGGAGGGTCCCGAGCAGGTGAGATTACCCTGGGTTATCCTGGTGGGCCCTCCGTGTCCTCACAAGGGGAGGTGTGATTACCTTTGGAGGTGGCAGTGTGAAGCAGAAAGTGCTCAGTTGCTGGCTTTGCAGACAGGGGAAGGAGCCGCCAGCGTGGAAGGTAGTTCTAGAAAGGAGAAGTCTGTAGAAGGAGCATGGCTCGGCCTCCACTGTAATTTGAGCTCCATGAAACTATTTTCACATCTCTGGCCTCCATAATACGAGATGATCAATGTGTGTTGTTTTCTCTCTCTCTCCTTTTTTCCTTTAAGTAGGCTCCACACCCAATGTGGGGCTTGAAATCACAACCTTGAGATCAAGAGTCATATGCCTGACAGACTGAGCCACCCAGGCGCCCCTGAATGTGTGTTGTTTTACACCATTTACATTTACACCAGGTGTACGATTATAGCAGCCATAGGAACTAATAGAGCCCTTATCTGAGAAGCAGGATCTCCAGCCCAGCCTCATGGGGATGGCCAAGGGCGGTGGGGCTGGGGAGTGCAAGGCTGTGCCCAGACTTGACCCTGCCTCTCCCCTGCTTGCATTCCTTCCGCGGGTCCCCAGCGCCTCTAAGACAAACCCAGAGCGCCCCGTTTCTGGCCTCCTGGAGCTCCATCTAGTGGCCATGAAGATAATAGCCGTCAATTGAGTATTCCTGGCATTGGGCTCAGTCCCTGAGGAATGTTTTTACCAGTCACTTCCAGAATATTCCAGAAACTGTCCGCTTTTCTCCAGCCCCACCGTCCTTCTCCTGGCTTCAGCTCGCACCATCTCTCATAGCTGCTGCTTCAGTGGGCTCCCTGCTTCTACCTTCTGAGCTCACCAGGACTTTTCAACTTAGAACTCTTGACGTTTGGAGCTGGATAATTCTTTGTTGTGGGGGAGGTTTGTGCATTGTAGGACGTTTAGCCGCATTCCCTGCTCTCTACCCACTCGATGCCTGTAGACCTCTCCTTGTTGTGAGAACCTGTTCCCCACACAACAGCTGTGTTCGTTTCTTATACCGCCCTATAACAAATTACCACAAATCTAGTATCTTAAGATACCTTGAAATTATCGCACGGTGTAACAATTTACCACAGACTCAGTGGCTTAACACAACAAATGTGGGGCGCCTGGCAGGTTCAGTCAGTAGAATGCTTGACTCTTGATCTCAGGGTGGTGAGTTCGAGGCCCATGTTGGGTGTGGAGGTTACTTAAAAAATAAAATTCTTTTTTGAGTTAAAAAAATAAAAAATAGAATTGTATTCTCTCACAGTTCTGGAGGCCAGAAGTCCAAAATCAGTATCCCTGAGGCCAAACCAAGGCTTTGGCAGAGCTGTACTCTCTTTAGAAGCCATAGGGAAGGGGCGCCTGGGTGGCTCAGTCGTAAAGCATCTGCCTGCAGCTCAGGTCATGATCCCAGAGTCCTGGGATCGAGCCCCACGTCGGGCTCCATGCTCAGCGGGAAGCCTGCTTTTCCCTTTCCCACTCTCCCTGCATCTGTTCCCTCTCTTGCTTTGTCTCTCTCTCTCTCAAATAAATAAATAAAATCTTCAAAACAAAAAAAGAAGCAGCAGCAGCAGCAGCTATAGGGAAAAACCCACTTCTTGCCTCTTCCGGCCTCTGGAGGCTGCCAGCATTCTGCAACTTGTAGACCCATCATTCCAGCCTCAGCTTGCATGGCGTTCTCCCCATGTCTCTGTATCTTCTCTGTGTCCTTCTTTTTCTTTTTTTGTTTAAGACTTTATTTATGTATTTATTTGAGAGCGAGAGAGAGAAAGAGAGAGAGAGCATGAGAAGGGGGAGGATCAGAGGGAGAAGCAGACCCTCCACTGAGCTGAGAGCCCAACACAGGGCTCCATCCCAGGACCCCAGGATCATGACCTGAGCCAAAAGCAGACGTTTAACCAACTGAGCCACCTTGGAGCCCCTCTCTGTAGCCTTCTTATAAAGACACCACTCATTTGGATTTAACGAAGATCCTATTTCCAAATAAGTTCACATTTCAGCATTCTGGGTGAACAGTAATTTTGGAGGGGATACTCTTCAACCCAGTGTCATATTGTTCATTCCAAATTACAGAGGAGGAAACTGAGGCACAGAAAGGCTAAGTAACTTGCCCAAAATCACATAGTCTAGTGGGATTTGTTCACACAGCAGAGCCTGGATTAGAACCCTGGGCAAAGTAATTAGGGACCCAGGGTTCTTTATCACCTATCAATTATTTCTCTGAGATCCTTATTTTATTTTTAAGTCATCTCTATACCCAGTGTGGGGCTTGAACTCAAAACCCTGCGATCAAGAGTCACATGCTCCACCCACTGAGCCAGCCAGGTGCCCCTATTCCTCCAAGGTCTTGAGATTGTGGAGGACTTGAAAGAAGTGGGTTAATGTTGTTGCTGGGTAGGGGCGCTTGGCTGGCTCGGTCGGAAGAGCCTGGGGCCCTTGATCTCACAGGGTCATGAGGAGTTCGAGCCCCACGTTGGGTGTAGAGATTGCTTAAATAAATAAACTTCAAAAGAAAAAGTTGTTGCTCTGTGTTTTGAACAGATAGGCTGTGTTACGGGACAAGAGTGGGTTGTAGAGATCAAGAAGTGAGCTCAGTGGGCACCTGGGTGGCTCAGTTGGTTAGGCAACTGCATTTGGCTCGGGTCATGATCCCGGGGTCCTGGAATCGAGGACCACATCGGGCTCCCCCTGCTCTCTGGGGAGCCTGCTTCTCCCTCTCCCTCTGTCTGCCACTCCCCCTGCTTGTGCTCTCTCTGTCTCTCTCTGTCAAATAAATAAATAAAATCTTAAAAAAAAAAAAAAAAAAAGTGAGCTCGGGACATGGAACCCAGGACTGGGTGGAGATTGGGGTGGCCCTTGACCAGGTTCAGGGCTGAGGGCCTGGAATTTGGAGGTTGAAATTAGGGCCTGGGTGTGACCATCTGCCTCTTTCCAGGCCACCCGGGACCTCGCCCAGTACGACGCAGCCCATCATGAAGAGTTCAAACGCTATGAGATGCTGAAGGAACACGAGAGACGCCGTTATCTGGAGTCACTGGGAGAGGAGCAGCGAAAGGAGGCAGAGAGAAAGCTGGAAGAACAACAACGCCGGCACCGAGAGCACCCCAAAGTCAATGTACCTGTAAGAACCCCCATTTGTGGCTACCCCACACCAGGTCCAACTCTCCAGGCATGGCAAGATGAGAAAGTAGCCAAAGAACTACAATTCCCAGCAGACCTTGAGGCCAGAAGGCCCTTTAAATATGCTGAGCCACCCCCAGGAGCTGCTGGGAGTTGTAGATTTTCTTGCTTGAAGGGCATGACGTTTGAGGGCTGGGAGGGACTCAGACTTCTTGTTCATGAGCCCCTGGCTCTCCCCTCCACAGGGCAGCCAAGCCCAGTTGAAGGAGGTGTGGGAGGAGCTGGATGGATTGGACCCCAACAGGTTTAACCCCAAGACCTTCTTCATACTTCATGGTAAGGTGGGGAGGAGCCCCAAGACCCAGGCTGAACCCTGAGGCTCTGACCTTTCTGGGGCCTGAATTCTAAGAAGAAGTGTCCCTATCACAGCGAGGCTTAGGCAGGCCAAAGAGATCTGAGCCTGTCCCTCCTGTTGGTCTAGAAGGCTCCACCCTTCCGCATTGCTAGAACCTTCCAGTGAAGAGCTAGGTCTCTTTTCAGGGATACACTAGACTCCTCGGTTCTCAGGACTGGCTGATATCCGCTAACTGAGCCATCCAGGCTTGGCTAGGCTGGGCCCGCCTCCCACAGCAGCCCAGGGGCCCTGTTGCCAAATAAATAGGCCTCCAGGGACTGGAAAGCTACCTTTTCCATGGTGGTTCAGACACACGTCTCCCTTCATTCTCCTCCTCTGAAGGAACCTAACCCAGGATTGCCAGGACCCCTCAGATGTGCCTGTCCCAGAAGCTGCCTGCAGTCCGAGGAGCTTAGTTGGGCCTGGCTCATTGATTCAGCAGACATTTTCCCAGCTCCCTCTGAGACCAAACTTCATGGAGAGTCTGTGGATCCCGCTGTGAAGGGAACAGAGCTCCCCGCTCTCACACAGCCAGTGATCAGGCGGACTGATAACGCTGTATTTCGGTGAATCTAAAAAAACCAGGGAGTATAAGATGTTCTAGAATTTTTACACAAGCCGCCCATTAAACTCACACACCACCAATGTTAAGATGCCTCCTGATCTTGGGGGTGGGGGTGGGGGGGTGACAGTCAAGGAAGGGGATTTGATAATAGCGCCCCGAGGAGTGCTAAGAGATGAGTAACGTGGAAAAGACGACAGGAGGGTTACGGGCGGAAAGTGTATTGTACCCACCAGCCCCCATGTGGCTGTTTAAGTTCTTGAAACACACCAAGGAACTGAATTCTCTAGTTTTGAGACATGAATTTTTTTTTTTTAATTTGTAACTGTGGTGAAATACACTTAACCATGAAATGTCCCATCTTCAGCCCTTTTGAAGTGGACAGTTCAGGAAGGCTAAGGACATCCACGTTGTTGTTCAGCCAAAGTCCAGAATTATTCTTCATCCTTTCCAAAGGAAAACTCTTTGGTCAATCGACGACTCCCCGCTACTCCTCCCCACCCAGCCCCTGGCCACCTCTCTTCTGGGTGCTATCTCTGTGAATTCTAGCTATTTCACACAAGTGGACTCATATAGAATTTGTCTTGTTTGGGACTGACTCTGTCTGCCTTAAGGGCTGACAGAATCCAGCTGTTTGGAGGATAGGCTATATGGCGGGAGGGCCAAAGCCTGGAGAAGGCTGGACATGCTGGTGGCTTCGCCATGGGAAGTAGGGAAGAGCGGTTGGATTGTGGGTTTATCTCGAAGGGCAAGCTGGTAGGACTCGCGGATGGACTGGATGAGGATTATGAGCTAACAAATAGGGTCAGGGGCGACTCTGAGGTACTTGGTGGGAGCAGCCATATTTGGGAGGGAAGATTGGGAACCAGGTCCGTTCGTGTTAAACTGCAGATGTCTGTCAGACACTTATGTGGCCAGGAGAGTTGACAGTTGGATATTCAGGTGTAGAGGCACTGGTAGATGAGGGACTGCAGGGACCCATCTGAAGAGGGGCTGGCCAGTCACAGTCTTTCTGTAATGATCCAAATGTTCCATGCTATCCAATATGGCAGCCACCAGCTACATGTGGCTGTTGAATGCTTGACCGGTAATAAGTGGGGTGAGACACTGGGATTTTTTTTTTTTTAGATTTTTATTTTATTATTTCTTTGAGAGAGAGAGCAGGAGCAGGGTGAAGGGCAGAGGGAGAAGCAGACTCCCTGCAGAGCAGGGGGCCTGATGTGCCCTCTATCCCTCGCAGGATCATGACCTGAGCCAAACTGTTGAACAGTTGCTTAACCCACTGAGCCATCCAGACGCCCCCCTGGGATTTTTTATCTTAATCGATTTAAATTTAAATGGCCAGTGTGGCTGGTGGCTACCATGTTGGATTCCAGGATCAGATGGCCTGAGCCCTGGGGCCCACCGATAGGTAGCATTCAGGAGGAGGATGGAGCCACAGGAACCAACGAAGGAGAATGAGGGGTATTTGGGAGGAGAAAATGATGTTCTGGAAGCCAAGGGCAGAAAGTCAAGTAAAATGCCCTTTGGTGGGACCCCCTGGGTGGCTTGGTCGGTGGAGCATATAACTCAGGATCTCGGGGTTCTAAGTTTGAGGCCCACACTCACTGTAGAGGCTGCTTAAGAAGAAAACGTTTAAAAAAAAAGTTAAACATTGGATTTGCGAGGTCAGGGTTTCCGGCCTCCTCTGAAGGACCAGTGTGGGTGCTGATCTGAGCGAGCGAGGGAAGGGGGAGGGGGGACAGCGAGCGTGGCCCATGCGGCTGAGAAACCTGGAGCCTCGGAGCCATACAAGCTGGGTGGCAGGTGGAGAGATTCCTGTGGCCTGGGTCTCTGTGGGACAGAGGCCTCTGACACCCCTGGCTCCTGGGCAAAGGGCTTAATCCTGTGCCTAGATCACCAGGGGTTAGGGATCAAGTAGTCCTGTGTGACGACCATCCCAAGAGTGGTCCTGGCGAAGCCCACCTTCATTTATTCCCTTTTTGGGACCCTGGTTGGTAGGGATCCGGCTGTCCTAGCAACAGGCCAATGGGGTACTGAAGCCTGAAGGGTATCATTGAATTGTTGGAGACCCAAGGATACCTGTCCTCTCATAGCAGAGCCCACATCAGCCCCCAATTCTTTCTCTAGTCCACCCTGTACTCAGTCCCCCCAAGATAACCTATTGTCTCCCCCTCAGATATCAACAGTGATGGGGTCCTGGATGAACAGGAGCTAGAGGCCCTCTTCACCAAGGAGGTGAGCGAGCATTTCGGAAACTACGGGTGCAGGGGATGCCCGCATTGCCACGTGTCCCCTGGATGGGAACTCAAGAGAAACTACAACTCCCAACAGCCCCTGGGACAGAAGGAGGCTACCAGGAGTGTCAGGGTGCCCCTGAGGACTTCTGGGAGTTGAAGTTGCGTGGTCTGTGTGTGTAAGGAGACAGAGTAGCCTAGGTGAGAGGTCGCCCTGGACCCCTCAATGTGTTCTTCCTCTCCCTTGACCCTGCTGCAGCTGGAGAAGGTGTATGACCCGAAGAACGAAGAAGATGACATGCGGGAGATGGAGGAGGAGCGGCTTCGCATGAGGGAGCATGTGATGAAGAACGTGAGAGGGGGGACAGGGGTCATGGGGAGGGTGGGGGCCGGGGTGGAGTGAGGCCCAGCTCTGTCGCTTACCCTGGCTCCCCAGGTGGACACCAACCAGGACCGCCTCGTGACCCTGGAGGAGTTCCTCGCATCCACCCAGAGGAAGGAGTTTGGGGACACCGGGGAGGGCTGGGAGGTGAGACCATGGAAGATTCTCTGAGTCCTGAATGCCTCTCTCCCCCCAGCCCGAAGCCTTCTTTCAGAGTCTCTGGACACTTCTTTTACCCTCGGGTCTCCGTCCCCCTACCCTGGCTCTCTGCCTCCCTCTGTCTCTGGGTTCAGTCTCCGTCCCCCTCTGGGTCTCTCTTCTCCCCTTTCTCTGGGTCTTTATCACCCTCAGCTTCCACGCAGAGCTCTTCCGCCCTCACATGTGACCCAGGCCTCCTCTGTTAGCGGCGCCCTCCCCAGCGCGGGTGGGCTAAGGCTCACGGCACCCCGCTGAGACCCCTGTCCCCACCTCACAGACAGTGGAGATGCACCCTGCCTACACGGAGGACGAACTAAGGCGTTTTGAGGAGGAGTTGGCCGCCCGGGAGGCAGAGCTGAATGCCAAGGCGCAGCGCCTCAGCCAGGAGACAGAGGCCCTGGGGCGCTCTCAGGGCCGCCTGGAGGCCCAGAAGAGAGAGTTGCAGCAGGTGACTGGCCAGGGAGGCTGGCCCCATCCTCTAAGTCCCTGGTGGCCTCTGTCCTTATATATTCAGAAGCTGGGAAGGCCTGTGGCCACCATGTTCATCACTACTAGACTCTCAGGTGGTGACCACCATCTTTAGTAAGGGCAGATGTCCCCATCCCTGACCGCTCTGTGGCTGCCATGTTGGATAAGGGCAGTGGGGGCTCTATGCAAGAAAGTGGGAGGGAGGAAGACCAAAGACAGAGTGGGAGGCTAGACTCAGCAAGGGTTCAGTGAAGGCTTCCCGGTCCCAAGGTATGACCCAAGCCATCACAGGGGAGGGAAAACTGGATCTTCTTACTGTCAAGCCCAACTCTCAGAGAGAAAAATGCCAAGGCCCATAGGGAAGGGATGGGTTCAGGACCACTTAGCAAGTTGAGATGGAGACTCAGTATCATCCCCTCTTGCCCGCGCAATCTCCCCCACTCGCTGCAGGCCGTTCTGCAAATGCAACAAAGAAAACAGCAGCAGCAAGGCCAGAACAGCCCAGCCCCTGGCCCCGAGGGACAGCTCCAGTTCCACCCGGACACAGGTGCTCTGGGCCCCTGGGCACCCCGGGGGCGGGGAGGGTGCTGGCGGCCACTCCGGGTCCAAGGGAGGAAGAAGCTGGGATGCCTACTACTACCATTGCCTCCCTGCATTTCCAGACGATGCACCTGTCCCAGCTCCAGCGGGTGACCAGAAGGATGGAGACCCTTTAGAAAAGAAGGTTCCTGATCAGCCCCCACAGCTGCCCCAGTCGGACACCCAACACCTGTGATCCTCCTGGGAACCCCCCCCCCCAACACACACATAACACACACTCTGAGTTCCTATGGAGGCAGTTGGTGGGAGGGGGCTGTGGAGGCGACATCAACCTCCCTGGGGGGCCAGCGACTTGTGTGGCCGCCTGGGGAAGGGGAGGGCCAGGTGGCTCTTCACATGTTGCTCCCTGAGCCCTACATCTGCCCCTCAGCTTCCACAGCCTCCCAGTCTGTGCTCCCTTCTTTCCGAGACCCCCAAGTCTAATTGGACCCTCACTGCATACCTAACTTAGGGAAGTCCTCTCCCTCCTGAGAAGGGTTGGCCTTGTGCCCGCCTTCCCGAGATGGTTTGGCCTCAGCTGCCCAGATCATGGCTACCCTGGTATCCTGCCTCTGTCCCCACTGCTGCCGGAATTCTGCCTGCTGCCCAGCTTCTGTCGGCTGATGAGGTTTTTTTTGGGGGGGGTGTCTCGAGAGAGAAACATTGATGCCCAAGGACGGTGTCTTCCCCATGGCTGGCTGCGAGGGGCAGCAGAGTCATCAGCATAGCTGACTAGTGCTGACCCCAGGAACCCAGACTCTCCCTGACCCCTGGCTTCCAGCTGCCTGGCTCCTCGCCCTTTCCCCACACAGCCCCAGAGGGGTCCTGGAGCCAACCCAGCCCCAGGATCAGGTTCCAGCCCCTCAGCCCATGGAGGAGGCCCTGCCCCACTTTCTGGCCTTTTCTCACATGGCTCCAAGTTCTCTATTCCAGTTCCATTCAAATACACTTTCTGGAACACTTTCCATGCCTCTGTGTCTTTGGATATACCGTTCCCTCTGAAACCTCATCCTCAGTTCCCCTGCTAAAGTCCTCTTCATTCTGTAAAATTCAGTTCAAGCGTAATAGCTAAGAGGCTTCATCCTGGCAACTTTCTGTCTTCTGATAAGTCCACCGTGTGTGTGTGTGTGTGTGTGTGTGTGTGTGCACGCGCGCAAGCGCACACACCCTTCAGCAGGATCCCAGCCACAAGGATAGAAAGGTTTAGTATAGAAGAAGTATTCTCTCCCAACACAAGACATCCTAGGGTAGGGTGATTCCAGGGAACCACTTCCTCCCATAACCTAATTCTGCTGTGGCCCCAGAGTGGCTGCAGCTGCTCCGGATATCACATCTGCACCAACAGCTGATGGAGGAAATCAGCAGAGGCGACAAATCGGAGCCTCCTCCTACCCCTGCGTGCCAGCGCCTGTTTGCCAACACACCACTGGGCATAGCGTAGGTCCGGTTTGGTACCCACAAAGAGGACGAAGTGTAAAGGAGGCTCAAATGATAAAAGTTATCTGAGGAGACGCAAAGCCCCTGGGCACCAAGGGTAGGCAAATCTGCTGGGAGGTGTCCTGTGTGGCTCTGGCAGAGCCCAAGCCAGTGGCCTGGAGCCAGCTGGTGGGCCTCCTCGAGGAGGCAGCAGTGCAGGGAGGGGCCGGAGGCACATACTTTCCACCCTCCCTTGCCCCACCAGGCAGCTGGGATGGACAGCGACCCTCGGCCAGGCATTGGCAGCCTGTGGCCCAGGGACCCTTCTCTACTTTCAGAGGCCCTCTGAGGCTGCAGGCAAGGGCCTCTAGCAGCATGGAGTAAGGCCTCAAGGGAAGGTCACGGTCAAGTATGATCGCAAGGAGCTACAACCAGGAGGTGTGGACCCGGAGCAGCTCCCCCCTCCAGAAAGAGGAAATTGCGGGTCTGGAGACTGATGTGGAGAGATGGGTCAAAGAACTGCTGGGTGACAGTTACAAACCCACTGAGGCCTTTGTCTCTGGCCTGCTGGTAAGATCCCAGACTTGCAGAAGCCTGAACACACCCCAGAAGTAAGGGTTTTCACTGCCATTGTGGGGACTTTTTTTTTTTTTCCTGTTACTGAACTGATGGGACTTTAAAAAAATTATCTGAGAGGCTCATTAACAACGCAAATTCCCAGACCCTGAAATATCCAAGGGAGGGTTCTGGAAAGTTACACGACCTGCTGTGAGTCCCGGCTTGAACCCCAACAATGACCACAAACAGCAGCCACAGCCACTCGGCTTCTGGAAGACTGGGAGCTGAGCCTCACTGAGCCAATCTGGAAAATGGGCATTAAATGGTAGAGTTCTTTGAAGGATCCAATAATAATACACATGAACAGCATGGCTCCTGGGTTGAAATTTGAGATCAGCAAGCAGTAATTTGTTATTATATGATCACATTTATGCAATTAGTGTCCCCGGGCACCTGTCGGTGACTTCCACATTGGAGGAAGTCCCCCATTCCAGCTGCCCAGGACCCTTTTGTGTCAGGCTTCCTTACTCTCTCTCCATCAGTAGACTCTAAGTTCCAAAGGAGCCAGGAGAGGGAGGCTCACGTCTGTCAAGTTTGTGGCCCCATACAGCAGCATCTATGGCTAGCATACATGGTCAAGAACCAGGTCATCTCTGCCCCAAAGACCCCTCTGCCCCACCACTGCCTCCCTGCCTGGCCTTTTGTTCTAGTCTTAAATCAACAGGATTATTTTGACTATTTATGTATATTTGGAAAATGATTTCTTGGTTGCTACTATTGGTGGTCATTTCTTACAGCAGCAGCGAGACACTAATACACAGCAGCAAACATTTCTATAGCACTTGGAACATGGCAGGTGCCCTGCCAAGCACATTATATGATCTCAGTAACAGCCCATTTCATCTTCACATAAACACTGTGAGGCAATCACCGTCATCAACTCCATCCTACAGATGAAGCGAATAAGAGAAGCTAAGTCACTTGCCAAAAAGCCCACAGCTAGTAAATGGCCAGGCTGGGACTGGAACCCTGGTCCACTGGACCCAGTTCATGTGAAGTTCTTTTTGGCACTGAATCTGTGCTGAAAATTTTCTGGTGAATGAGTTAATGGGGGGCGCCTGGGTGGCTCAATCAGTAGAGCGTGGGACGCTTGATCTCAGGGCCGCGAGTCCAAGGCCCAAGTAGAGTGTAGCGCTTAATTTGAAACAAACAAACAAAAAATTGTTTTAAGATCTTATTTATTTATTTGACAGAGAGAGACATAGCAAGAGAGGAAACACAAGCAGGAAGAGTGGGAGAGGGAGAAGCAGGCTCCCCGCTGAGCAGAGAGCCCGATGTGGGGCTCGATGTGGGGCTCGATCCCAGGACCCTGGAATCATGACCTGAGCTGAAGGCAGGAGCTTAACAACTGAGCCACCCAGGCGCCCCCCCCCCAAAAATTTTTTTTAACCAGCTAATGAGTGCACACTCTGCTCCCTGCCTGGCACGCTGTCCACTCATCCGTTCTGTGGTTGTGACCTTTAATTTCCTAAGGGTTTTTCTAACACTTGGATATGACTCTATTGATCAAAACGCTGCTGTCTTCACCTTCACACTCTATCACCCACACAGGAGCTCCTCGACCCTGCCCAGATGGTCCAGTTGATCCCTCTAGGTTTATCTTTCACATTCTCCCCCATTCCCAACCTGGGTTCCAGACTCTGACTTCTTTTCTTTTTTTAAGTAAGCTCTGTGCCGGAACTTGGAGCTCGAACTCAAGACCATGGCAGGCAGTTCAAGTGGAAAATCTGTTTCCTTGCTTTTCCAGCTTCTGCTGGCACCTGCATTCCTGGCCTAATAACCCCTTCCTCCAGCTTCAAAGCCAGCAGCACAGAATTTTCAAATACCCTGCCCTGTTTTGAGGTTCCTCTGCTCAGGTTGAGTTTCCTGCCTTTCTCTTCTAAGGTCTTCTATAATTGCAACGAGTCCACCACAGAATCCGGGGAAAGCTCCCCATCTCAGGAGCCTTCACAGTGATACCTGCAAAGTCCGTTTTATTAGGTCAGGTCGCATGGTCACAGATTCTGGTGATTACAGCAGGGACGTCTTCGGGAGGGGGTGATTACTGTGTCTGTCACAGGTTGTGTCTCTTTCTCCCACTAGAGGGCGGCAGAGAGCAAAGCGAGGTTGTCCCTGGACATCAACCAGCACACGACCAAGTCAAAAGTAAAAATGTTTGCTCAGTGAATATGTGAGTCATGCCGGTTAGATCTTTGTTGTCTCCTGCTGAAAACCCTTCCACGTCTTCTCCAAACCGTTGCTGACCCCTCCCCAGCCCCATCTTCCATCCCACTGACCCAACCATGCTGGCCTGTTCTGGGTTCTCAGAACATAACAAAGCACTGAGATCCCATGTGAGAGCAGAGAAAGCATCTGTCTCATTTCTGATGTGTCCTAGGGACCTAGAGCAAATTAGATGCTCAGTAAATACCCGTGCTCTGTCTGGGAGGACAAGCTGTGGAATGACCCCAGAGGCTCTCTCTGGAATTCCTGGCTAGAAGCTGGCTGGCACAGGGTCTTCCCCTTTTGCCATGATTTCAACGTCCTCCAAGGTCTGCCCACAGTGTTTCCTGCAAGTTCTGGGAAGTGCTGGTGCCCAAGCTTAGAGCTTTGCCATGCTTCCAGCACCATTGTCTTGCTTGTCTCCACAAAGAGAGTAAGAGCTAGGAAGCAGGTGTGTTTCTCAGGTTACAGACCCCCCAGTGTGGCCACTTGAGCCCAGCCAGGTAGCCCTTGCCAGCAGACATCAAGAGAATATATATTCACTGATGTTCTACCTCTAAATTCTACATTGTCTTATACCCTTTGTTAATCCCTTGGCTCTCACTCCAGGTCCCAGAGAGGCTATCATCTGCTTGCCGGCGGTCCACCCCTAGCTCCTTATCAGACCTTCAGCACACAGGATTCTTGTCCCAGGGCAGTGATCTTCCTAACTTGATTACGAATTAAACACAGCCGTCACAGTTCAGTGTTTGTACTAAACCCCACTGAAAGTTTACATTTTTGAGATTCAGTGTATACATAGTGTGGAGTTAGTTCACCCATTTTTCTTGCTGTGTGGTACCCTGTTGTTAGAATTTGCCACCGTTTGCTCATGGGTTTTTCTACTGATGGCTCTTCCCAATTTTGAGCTATCACGGCCAATGTTGCAATAATACACATGCCCTCCCAGGCACACATCGGACAGTTTCTCAAGGGTATGTGTCTTC